CAAGGAAGACATAGGGTGGTAGCCGTCGTCTTGGCCGTCTGACGATCGCGTCGTAGCGTTCGAGACTTCCGGATACCAGGCTAGAGTTAGATACGAAGAGCTGTGATACGTGCAGCAGGAAACTAGTAATAAGAATCCCATCGAACGATCGACGAACTCGCTAAGAAACGTATCCCGCAAACGATGCACGCTCGCGATTATTCTTCGTTCTATCGAAGCTCGAAAGATTGTTTTTCGTTTATTATCATAATTTATCGTCACATTTTATCGATCCCTGCCTCGTCGCGACTTCTCGTTGGGAAAAGCCTGCGGACCTAGGAGAATAAGTTGCAAGTCGCAGGATCGTGTGTAACTCTGTTACCCGGCGCATCGATACACGCGTCCACCGTTCAACATATAATCTCTTCTCGGTTGCTATTTTTCTCAAGCATTTCCGTTTCGCGAGATGGAGGGAAGAGCGGTTTTGCAGTGTCCGTCGGTGGAGGGGAGAGAGGATCGGGAAGAGGGAATCGCGAAGCCCACACGTTTGACGTACGTTTTATAGGCAGCCAAGGTGGACGCGTAGAAAAAGCACTCGAGCTGCGGACGTAAATCTCGTTCTTTTCGTTAGCTTCGGACAGGCCAGAAGCGTGTGGTATTCTATCCCGCTCGGCTGCCGCTTCGAGGAACACAGAAACAGCCGAGAAATAACGCCGTTCCGCCCACGTCTGTCTATTGGCAAACGCAACAACATTCTTTTTGTCACCGTGGTTGTTGCCTCTTTCGCCCGCGAAAAGATCAAAGAGCAAAGAGACTTTTACCTCGTCGTCCTTCGGGTCTTTCGGGTGTTTCTCGATGGAAACCGAACGCAATTTCGAATCCCACCTTCGTTTCGATCTTTCCTCCGTGCGAACGTATCATTTTCTATTCTTTCCCTTCGGTATGCGCTATCCTTTTATCCCTTTCCGGGTGCTAAGAAACAAAGAGAGGCTGATACACGTGCGCGCAAAGCGGCTCGCAATTTCAACGGGTTTCGGGGTTAAAGATAGTATCCCGAGGCAGTAGGGTAACATAATAGGCCGGGATGGGGGTCTGGGTCTAACGAGAGAAAGAGAAAAAGGGAGAGGAAGGAAGGAGTGGACGTCGAGACTGGCGGTAGTAGGGAGATGCAGAAGTAGAAGGAACACGTGAAAAACAGAGATGCTTGTAAAAGCAAAGCGAGCCCGTGTAACAGAGAAAAGGAGACAACGACGACGACGTTCCCGTCGTCGTCGTCGTCGCCGACGGCGTCGTCACTGTGTGCAACACGGTGCATCGGACTAGCCAGTCGCGAATGGAGGTGGAGAAGAGAGAAGGAGGAGAAGGATAGAGTAGTTAAGTTAGTCTGTCGGTCAGTGACTGCCTGACTTTCCCGGCGCAGCTGAAGGTCAACTCTCCCCTTCTCTCGACCTCATCCTCATCCTCCCCCTCTTCTTCCTCGTCTTCTTCCTCCTCTAACCCACTCCACACCACCCGCTGAACCGCTGCCATTCCCTCTCAAAGCTACTACCAACACACCTCTCTCGAACCCATCTTTATCCTTTCCTTCTACTTCTACTTCATCTACTTCTTCTTCTTCTTCTTCTTCTTCTTCTTCTTCTTCTTCTTCTTCTTCCTTCCTCTCTCATCGTATTCTTCGATACGAGCACTCGTACCGCTATACACACAACTCGAAAACTTACTACTATAATCTCGTGTAGAGGAACGATTGCACACGCAGACGATCGCTTTGTTTATGCGGTACCAACACTTTCGGTGCCTTTTCTCTTCACACTCGTGTCACTCCATCCTTCTTCCGCCGGTTCGTGCCTCCTCCCCACGGGTTGAGGGTCATTCGTGCACTTAGGTGCACGCGGAATTCCGCCTCCAAGTCCTGGTACGTGAGAACTCGCCTTCCTACACATCTACACCATCCTATCTCCCAGCGTGTTTCTCTATCGTTCGCCGTTTCAGCAAATCGAAATTCCCCTTTTCGTATCGTACGGTTAGACGTAGGCGTACGCGAGATGCGAACGCGGATAAAAAATGTTTACAAATTTCTTTCTGCTTTTTTCGTCCTCTGATCACGGTCGCGAACGATATCGCGAAGAAATAACGGTGCGCTTATTGGTACAGTAACTCGTCCGAAGGAAATCGTACGATAAGTCACCGCATACGCGTATCCGAAGCTTCAATTGCGATAATGCCACCGACTAAACGACGGGTTCACGGCTATTACCGTCACTTTTCTCCATCTTTTTCTTCCTTCTGTATATCAGTTAATTATTGCCGCGAATATTTTCGTTGCCGCCGCGCCGGGGAGAGAAAAAATGAAACCAACGCGACTTTTTACCATTGATAAACGGCCAGCTGTAAACGAGGCGTTACTCGAAATTAATTACCCGACGCTTATAACAGTGGTCATCCGTGTTTGAACGCATTCGTCGTGAAATAGACTTCACGGTTGCCCCGAAGTTTCATCATTTCATTGAAATTTCTTTTCCAAACGCGAATTCACTTCTCGTTGTCTTCACTTTCGGTCTTTTCTACCCGTTCTTCTACCACTACCGATTCGTACGTTCCTGGATATATCCCTACCACTCGACGAGATGATCCTCCTCTCCCTCTCTATCCCTCCCTTTTCGCTATACTTGTACTTCCGGCCGCGAGGCTAGCGCGAAATTCTTGCAAAATAAACGGCAGTCACGACTCCCTGGATAACTTTCGATCCTTCGCTTCTATTTTACTCTTTCTCCCTTCTCTCTCTCCTTTTTATACGTATTTTTAACTATCGACTCGTTACCGGCTTCTACACCTAAACTTCCTGCCGCCGCTGTCAGGAAGAACGGCTACATCGAGTCGACACTTGTTTGCCCGCCTTCTTTTACTTTCCCCCGATTCTTCTTGCCTAATTTCATTTTCAAATCAATTTTTTACGATAACTGTGTAATTAAAATTCCGTGTCGTCGACGGTATTGTTCAGCGTAAAATTGGAACGGTCATCGTAGAACGTATATCGCAAGCATATCTCGTAACTGTTTCCTCGAACGAAGTTTCTATTGCGCAAACGTTCGAGCGTCAATAGAAAATCGTCATAGAGTAGTATCCCATCTCTCCCTTCTCCTCTTTGTGCAACAGAACCGTCGGTCTCTTCCATGCGTCACGAAAACAGTGGTGTACGTACATAACACCAGTATACGCGATGCATCGCGTCTCTAGCGGTGTTCCTTCGCTATACACCACGTCAGTGGTATAGGTCAGTGAAGTAGTAGCTCCCCACCAGGCGCCTCCTAGACAACGGGTCTACGATTGACTCATCTAGCCAGTCATACGGCGCGTAAACACGATCCGCTCCAGCTGTTCTCTCCGCTCTTTTACTCTCGATCCTCGTACCATCTCTCTTCCTCAACCCTCCTCTTTCCTCGTCAAAGTTTTACCTATCTTTCTCCCTCTCGTCGGGCAACCAGAGTGTAGTACACGGATCCTGAGAACAACGGGGCGTTCTCTTTATTTTTAGAGGCACCTCGAGAATTCGGTTCCCTGCCTCCCCATCTTTTTGTCTGCCGGGTTATTCCTTCCTTTTCTTTCAACCTACCTTCTTCCCTCTCTGCCGGTTGGCTCGGAAGCAGAGAAAAGCAGCCTCGCGAATAGAGGAGGAGGAATCGTTCAACCGCGCGCGCCTCCACGGAACTACGTGGAACGAGGAGGAGAGGGATAGAGAGGCGAGGCGTAGAGCAGGAGAGAAGGTAGAACGAGTTCCGATTTTAGCGCAGTCGCGGCCGCCTCAGAACGAGCGGCGCTATTATGCACTAGTAGCTTGATGGCGTCACCCGTGCAACCTTGGCTCGGGTCAGTCCTCTATCATACACTGCAGCCAGAGTTCCCCTACCCCTTTCAGTTTCACCCTCTCTTTCTATCCTGCCCTCTTCGACGTCTCCTCTTTCACTCATGTTCGCTTCTTCCCTGCTACCTCGTCTCTCTTCTCTTCATTTGGCTCCGCTTAACCCTCTTCTCTCTCCTCTTCTTCGCTCTCTCTGCTCGCACACACGGCACTGGCCACACGACCAGTGGCGTAAGAATACTTTCTATTTCGAGGCATCCCAACTCCAGGGAGTTCCTTCCTTTCGCAGAAGCCGCAGAACGATTCCACGACGAAATTTTAATCAACCTGTGTATGTGTGCGAAAGAGCTGTCACAGAGAAATATAGGGGACGGTCTAGCCGATGATGAATTCGTTACGAAACCAGGTTTATGAAACATATAAAATTCCCATTTCTCGGTAATGCGCTATCTTTGATTCTTGATAGACGACTATTAATAGATCCGGTTAAGTACGATGTGTACTTAAGGGATAAGGTGTGTAAATCTTCTTGATAAATTCCATTTCTTTGTCGCGTTATAAATGAACAACTATCGGAAGTGGATACCCCGCAACGAGTCGAGAAAAAGTTATTAGCGGAACGCGAAAGATCAGTAGATCAGGTCCTCCTTTGGTCAGACCCGTCCGGTCTGACGTGCTACAGGGTAAGATCACTGCTTCCCATTAATTTTCCTTCCATCTGACAGAAATCTACCGTGCCCGTTGAGGGTTAAAAACATACAATTTCCTGTATTAACCAGTAATATTATTAAACGATGTAAATAGACGAAGGTGGTTCGATAAATAAACTTGGGTTAATACGAGCGGCTGAAAAAACTGGTTCGCATCTCGTTAAGTTTCATTCTTTCGCATAACGCTGCTGCGTTCCGTTTTTCAGTAGCGAAAAAACGTAATAACCGGATTTACCCTGTAATTATATCGATGATTATCTACGTTAACTTCTAGCGTAATAAGCTCACGGTAGTGTCATCCGACAAAGATCGCGTAAACCCAGATCCTCGGTGTTGCGCTTCGATCTCCACTCGTTCTTAATTAACATAATCATAGCCCTGCTATCTATGTATGTAATTAACTCGTTTCCCTTATTCTTTATCTACATCTGTTATTTCTCTTTCTGTTCCAGTGTCCGAAAGCTATAGCAGTTACGTGAATTCGATGTACGCGAGCGGTGGTCAGTTCGCAACTCCGTGCACGCCAAGCCCGCCAAGGGGACCCGGCGGTGTTCCAACGAGCGTGATCCAAGCGGCTACCAGCTCGGTTTCCGACGACCTGTACCTCCTAGAGTTAGGCTTCCCTCCCCGATCGAAAAAGAACAAGCTGAAGAAACCGCGTCAAGGCGACGGAGCGGCGGTGAAGAGGAAATCCCGCGAGGGTTCGACCACCTACCTATGGGAGTTTCTGTTGAAGCTGCTTCAGGATCGTGAATACTGTCCCCGATACATCAAGTGGACGAATCGCGAACGTGGTGTCTTTAAACTGGTCGACAGCAAGGCGGTGTCTCGTCTGTGGGGTTTGCACAAGAACAAACCGGATATGAACTATGAAACGATGGGCCGAGCCCTGCGTTATTATTACCAGCGTGGTATACTCGCGAAGGTCGATGGACAGAGGCTGGTCTATCAGTTTGTCGACGTGCCGAAAGATATTATAGAAATCGACTGTACCGGCGCGTGAGACAGGGCTCGAGCTACGAGGGAGGAACACGATAGAAGACGAGCCGTATGGCAAATGAATGATTTGCGTGTTCGCGTTGCAATCGTACGGAGCAACTCTTCCTGCCACAACGTGCCGATCTGGCACACCCCTCAGACGATCTAAAGCATATGCCCTCTCTCTGACTTCGTTCGTTCCTTGTTCTGTCACGCTGGTCCCTCGTTTTACGCGAACTCTCGATTACGACCGGTCTCCCTTTACGCGGTTGACAATCGCTTACCCCCCTTGTAGATACGATCACCCGGTTTACGTCCGTACGCGTTCAGGAATAACAGTGCCAATACCGATATTGTTCATGTTCGTTCAAAATTTTTAGCTAAATTCTGGCACGAGAGTACCGCGTAAGCGGAAATCTATGTATTAAAGGAGTACCGTGGAAAGCGAGGGATCAATATACATATATACCTATAAGGGTATGTATATTAATGAACGTATAAAGAAACAAAATGTACGAACGCTGCCGCGAGAGGATGAATGTTTTTGTTTTGTCAATGCGACAGCTACCAATAATTCGTTCACCGTAATTTCGTCCTTCTTTGGTCTTTCTTTTTTTGTTACTTTTTTGACGGTGTACGTCCGATAGTAATCGTACTAAGCTTTACAACGTTCAATATATATATATATATATATGTATAAAGAAGGAGTATAATTAAATAAATATATGTATATATATATATATGCGTTGAGCTCGTTCAAATTTGTACAAAATTTAGTTCATAAAGATAAATGATGCTACGGCACAAGTGTTACTAAATGTATTTTAATCGAGAGGAAAGGGAAAAAAAGATGAATCTAGTATGGACAAATTACTTAACCTATAGTCGGATTATAGGCGAACAATTGTACATTGAAGAGCGCGCGATAAATTATTTATTGTATATTAGATGATTATATATGTTACCTAGAACAAAAAAAGAAATTGTTATATATGTGTCGACGAAGAGAAATGCGGACAAGAAAAGAGAATGTGTAGGGAGTATACACATTTTACACGCACGTAAACGTGGAAAGTTTAGGAAAACAAAAAGAAAAACGAAACGAAATGAGGGCTGTGAAAAGATTCAGAAAGGAGGAAATATGATAGAGCGGATACGATGAAGATGTTTTAAAAAGAAAATAGAAAAAAAAAAAGATGTTTTACGGAGCGAGCTCAGGGAGAGGTACAACATTATTATACAGACAAACATAAACTCGTTACGCGTACATGCAACACATTTGCACAGACACAACCAATCACACGATACACATTATATTTTTTTAAATGTAAGCGAGAGAAAGGGCGACTCTTCTTTTTGAGCTGAGGGTTCAACAACGTAAGGTGCTGGCTATACACAAGAGGTCCAAGAATGTTATTTAGCAAGCTAGTGTTACTAATTCATTAAAAGAAAAAAAAAAGATTATTGAGAAACAGACATTATATCTCTGTATATATAAAAATACACCTTTAGTATATATATATATATATATATTATTGAATATTATATATATATTATATGAATATATATTGTATGTTATGTAGTAAATGGAGCGAGTTAAATGTGTCTCTATGAGATTTTTCCGTCACGTCGGCGTATTAACGAAGTTATGCAACCGTCTTCGTACGATGTCTCTGTTCGAGTATTTCATTTTGTAAAAAATAAACGCGAGTTTCCGTTTTTTTATTCTAGTTGTATACGCGACGGGGATGATGGAAGGAGTGGGTGTACGTTCGATTGTTAAAAGTTCGAACGATTTATCTCTTGATCACGCGTCCCAAAACACAAAACGCACACTATATAGCGTGGTCTTTCGTGCTCATCCGAATCAGGGACATCGTACTTTTTAAACGTTTAGGATATTTTAGCCTTCCTGGCGCACGGGGCCGTTCGAACACGATAAGTTAGAGTGAAATTTAATTTATTGAACTGCCCCGGAACCTCTCAGACTACCCCTTTCCCCAAAGGACGTGACGTGCGAGTGCAAGCGTATCCTATATAGTAATAAGTTTTGTACATAGAGATTCGTTGAAAGCATACTTAGGAAGAACATATTACGCAGGTTATCGTTGGGAATGAGAAATGAGAAACAAAGAATAAGAAGGGCCAGTGATACCTTTGAGGTTCGTGGCTCTATTTCGGTTAGATACATACGTGGTTCTTCTTGACGATCACCTTCAAACATTTTGATGAAGAAAGAAAATACAGTAAATAATAGATAAAAACGATCAAGTGCTGCCAATAATGCCTGTAAACGGTCCCTTGCATTTGTTTCTGCCGCTGAAAGAAAGAAAAATAATACAAGCAACGTATAAAGAGTATAAAAGAAATGTCTTATTGTAAAACGTATAAAGAAATGTCTTGGGACGCCAGACATACCGATGATACAAAGCGAATTGCCTTCTCTCGTAGTTAACAAAGACGTGTTGCCTTCTAACAAAGAAAACATATAAGAAGTTCTAGCAATTTGTATTGTAATACCATCGATTTTGTCCAGGTACTTAAACAAACAAAAAAAAAAAGAGAGACCTTTAATAACCCTGTACCTCCCTCACCCTACTACTACTCCACCAACCGTCCCTCCGCCCCTTTTATCAACATAGAATTTTGTAACTTTTGTCAAGAGAAACATATATATATATATATATACATATACATATAATGAGAAAAGAGTAAAAAAAGTTGAGAAACATTTTTGGTACACGAAGACTTTTTTCATATCGCACTTTACATACACGTATCGGGTAAAGAAAAATAAATTACGTTTAGAAAAATATTAATAAGCGAAAGGACGAAAAGTAATACATCAGAGTACAATGGACAAAAAAAAAAGCAAGTACCTATATAAAATAGTACCACTTCTATACGTAATAAACCACTTATAAACAATGAATGGACACTGCAACAATAAATCCTATTTTTAGGTGAATTAAATTTACATATACATAACAATTGACTACGCTACAAGATATTTTAACAGATAAGACTTTACTGTAATAGAGATAAATCTATAATTATTTACCTGTAAAATAATACGAAGACACGATGGATTGACGTAAGGAACTCTAATGTAACGTTCTGTGATTCGTTGTTTGTAGGTGAAATTTAATAAAAGATTACTGTATCATAAAGATCGTTTTTAAGTACTCCCATGATTTTACCAGCATTGAATAAACTTTTACTTTTACAGTAAAAACTTATTTTCTCTAAATGTGAGATCTTCTCAAAAAAGCGCCAAGTTCGAAACAACCTCCCCCAACCTGCATTTCCTCTTGTGACGTCATGGTTCCAAATTCGACAATGGCACCATCTATACGAAAAGGGCGCAAACCACTCAACAATTAATCGACTGATTTTCCAAAAGAGAATAAGTAGATCGAAGAAAAGTTGACGCCGAATATTAATATTCTTTAATAATTTGTATCTTAAAAAATTGCTTCCCAAAGTGAGCACAGCCGATATGATAATCGTGACTGTTTTACCAGTACATTTTTTACCACACCACGCATTGATTCGAGTAAAGGTAGCTGGTTACGGCACCATTATCAACCGTTAGACCTAAAGCGAAGTGAAACAGCATTAGTCTTGTAGCAACCGCCGAGGAGTGCAGATCTACGTGGTAAATAATATATCTATATTTTATTTTCTGCGTTCATTTACTTTGTTGTATTTATCTTCTTAGTTTATTGAATAAACTCATTAAGAGGACGAACGTGTTCATTTTATTACTGAAGTGTGCATCCTTTACATCCCTGATACCTTTACATCCCCGATTCCTTTACATCCCTGATTCCTTTACATCCCTGATTCCCTTACATCCCTGATTCCCTTACATCACTGATTCTTTTACATCCCTGATTCCCTTACATCCCTGATTCCCTTACATCCCTGATTCCCTTACATCACTGATTCCTTTACAACTCTCATTCCTTTACATCCCTGATTCCTTTACATCCCTGATTTCCTTTACATCCCTGATTTCCTTACATCCCTGATTCCTTTACATCCCTGTATCTTTTACATCTCTGCATTCCTTACATCCCTGTATGCCTTACATCCTTGAAATGACGCTTTCGGCGATCGTAACAGCGCCCTCTGGCAGTAAAAAATGGAACTAAATTTTGCAAAAATTTAAATTTTAAATTATATTTTACGAGACTTTAGACCGAGACTTGGCTATATAGGCCAAGACCCATCCCTTTCAATTATTAATTATTTTATCCTTCTCTACGGTGTCATCGGTCCTTTGGGGTCCCAGACACCCCAGGATGTAATCAGAACGGTATGCATACAGCACCGTCAGTGCTGAGGGGTCCCTGATACCCCAGATGCAATCGGGTCGGTATGTACAGAGCGCCAATAGTGTTTCGGGGTCCCAGACACCCCAGGACGAAATGAACACGGTATGTACAGAGCGCCAATAGTGCTTCGGGGTCCCAGACACCCCAGGACGAAATGAACTCGGTATGTACAGAGCGCCAATAGTGCTTCGGGGTCCCAGACACCCCAGGATGTATTCATAACGGTACGTATACAGCACCACCAGTGCTCAGGGGTACCTGATACCCCAGCAGGATATCAGGTCGGTATCACCTCCTGTGGCTCGGGGGGCTTAGAATACGGCCACAGTATCCCCTGCCTGTCGTAAGAGGCGACTAAAAGGGGGATGTAAAGGAGCGAGTAAAATGTAAAGAAATAAACAAGTTAAATAGATATAACAATAATTTTATTAATAAACAATTGTAAAATATAAAAATTAATGGTAGTATTGTACTATTTCGCCATTTGTTTGGTTTTTATGTCTTATATTTCCCTATTTCCTATCAAATCCATCGCTATCCTGCATTCACTAATTCCCAATTGTATTTCGCTAGATTCGGTCAAACCCATCACTATCCGAACAAGTGAGTTTCACGATTTGTTCGTTTTTCGTTCTTATATTTCGCTAGATCCGGTCAGACCCATCACTAGTCCGAACAAGTGAGTTTCACGAATTGTTCGTTTTTCGTTCTTATATTTCGCTAGATTCGGTCAAACCCATCACTATTCCGAACAAGTGAGTTCCACGATTTGTTCATTTTTCGTTCTTATATTTCGCTAGATTCGGTCAAACCCATCACTATTCCGAACAAGTGAGTTTCACGATTTGTTCGTTTTTCGTTCTTATATTTCGCTACTTCCTTGGGGTCCCCGAAAACCCTGATGCCCGACCGTGGGTATGCAGAATCATCGGAACTTCGGGGTCCTTAGGAACCCAGAAAATATAATTTGGGTATACAGAATCATTGGTGTTTCGGGGTCTTTAGAACCCCGAGTCGATATAATTTTGGTAAGCAGAATTATAGATGCATCGGGGTTCTTAGAACCCCGAGACAATATAATTTAGATATACAAAATCGTCGGTGCTGCGGGGTCCTTAGAACCCCTGAGACAATGTAATTTAGGTATACAAAATCGTCGGTGCTGCGGGGTCCTTAGAACCCCGGAGACAATGTAATTTAGGTATACAAAATCGTCGGTGCTGCGGGGTCCTTAGAACCCCGAGACAATGTAATTTAGGTACACAAAATCGATGGTGCTTCGGGGTCTTTAGAACCCCCAACGATTTAATTTTGGTAGGCAGAATCATAGTTGCTTCGGGGTTCTTAACACCCCAGGATGAAATCAGGTTCGTACGTAGAGGGCACAACTAGTATAATATTCGTACTCGAATTTCTTTCCGGAATTTATTTAATTTACCTCATTTATCTTGTTCCGGGTGTCATAAAGACATCTGAAATTATTTCATTCTTTCCCTCTTTATAGGCCAAGACCCATCCCTTTTAATTATTAATTATTTTGTCCTCCTTTATGGGCCAAGACCCATGCTCCCTAACTATTTCTTATCCTACTCCTCTCTATGGACCAAGGCCTCCCTTGGCAGATATTTATTTCTTCATTCTTTTTATGAGCTTATCCTTATTGCACTGCATCCCTCACATCACTGTCTTCCTTACATCTGCGTATCTTTTACATCCCTTAATTCTGTACATCCCTCCACCCTTTATATCTCTGCATCCCTTACATCCCTTATGTACCTGCAACCCTTATAGCACTGCATCCCTCACATCACTGTCTTCCTTACATCTGCGTATCTTTTACATCCCCTAATTATTTACATCCCTCCACTCTTTATATCTCTGCATCCCTTACATCCCTTATGTCCCTGCAACCCTTATAGCACTGCATCCCTCACATCACTGTCTTCCTTACATCTGCGTATCTTTTACATCCCTTAATTCTTTACATCCCTCCACCCTTTATATCTCTGCATCCTTTACATCCCTTATGTCCCCGCAACCCTTATAGCACTGCATCCCTCACATCACTGTCTTCCTTACATCTCCGTATCTTTTACATCCCTTAATTCTTTACATCCCTCCATCCTTTCCATCCCTGCATCCCTTACATCCCTTATGTCCGTGCAACCCTAATAATAAATATATTACAAAAACTGGTTCGAGTAAAGGTAAGGAAAGGTAAGTAATTTTATAATTTTTAATTTTTTAATTTTCAATTTTTCTCCCTCTAGCGGTAAAAATGTGAACTAAAATTTCGACCTCGAGTCAGCGCCATCTGGTTTTAGAAAAAGGAACTAAATCATGCTGAAATTTTGGCCCTCTAGCGGCAAAAATGTGAACTAAAATTTCGACCTCGAGTCAGCGCCATCTGGTTTTGGAAAAAGGAACTAAAGCTTGCCGAAATTTTGGCCCTCTAGCGGCAAAAATGTGAACTAAAATTTCGATGTCGAATCAGCGCCATCTGGTTTTGGAAAAAGGAACTAAATCTTGCTCCATTTTTGGCCCTCTAGCGGCAAAAATGTGAACTAAAATTTTGACGTCGAATCAGCGCCCTCCGGCGATAAAAAATGGAACTAAATTTTGCAAAAATTTAAATTTAAAATTATATTTTACAAGACTTTACTTACCTTTACTTACCTTTACTTACCTTTACTCGAACCAGTGGCCATAAGTATTTTATTTATAATATATTTATTATAAGGGTTGAAAGGGTACAAGGGATGCAGGGAGAATTCAGGGAGTGTAAGGGATACAGAGATATAAAGGGTACAGAGATATCAAGGATATAGAGATGTAAGGGATACAGGGATATAAAGGGTACAGAGATGTAAGGGATACAGAGATATAAAGGGTACAGAGATGTACGGGATGCAATAATGTAAGGGATGCCGAGGTATAAGGAATGTCGGTATACACGAGATGCAGGAATATGGGGAATGTAGTGATATGAGGGATACAGGGGTGTTAAGGATGCAGACATGTAAGGGATGCAGTGATAAAGGGTTGGGACACGTGAGGTCCTTAAAGGCAAAAAAATAATAAATAATTGGAAAGGTGGAGCCAAGGCCCATGAAGAAGGATAAAATAATAAATGACTGGGGAGGATGGTCCTCGCGAGGCCCAAAAATAGGAGTAAAATAATAAATAAAAGGATAAAATAATAGGTGAGGAACACAGATGTAATAGAATCAACATGTTCATATTCCTAACGAGTTTATTCAATAAGAAGATAAATACAACAAATTCCTCTTTTAATAACGCGAAAACATGTCTGTGAGTGACGCTGAGATGTTATTCTTACAATGATAGTACAGTGAAACTTGTTAAAAAGGACATCTGATAATATTACATCGGTGCGCAGAAGAGTCGCCGGGGTCCTTGACACCCCAAGATGATAAATTGATACCCAGAATGATTCGCGGGGTCCCCGATACCCCAAGATGTTATTTTGTTGGTGCGCGGTGAGTTGCCGGGGTCCCCGGTACCCCACTACGATTTCGGTCGGTGCGCAGAGTCGCCGGGGTCCTCGATACCCCGAGATGATATTTTGTCGGTGCGCAAAGAAAGTCGTCGGGGTCCCAGAAACCCCAATATAATATTAGGTCGGTGCGTAGTATGTCGCCGGGGTCCTCGATACCCCAGATGATATTATGTCGGTGCGCAGAGTCGCCGGGGTCCTTGAAGCCCCAAGATAATATTAGGACGGTGCGCGGAGAGTCACCGGGGTTGCTGACACCCCGGATGCCATAATATCGGTATCCAAAGAAAATTACCCATGCTTAGGGGTCTCTAACACCCCAAAATCGGGGTTGCATCGGGGCCCTGAACACCCCAGGATGATATATCGGTATGTACAGTCGTCGGGGTCCCAAACACCCCAATATGCTATCAGGTCGGTATATAGATAGAGTCCCGTAAAACGCACCGTGGGGTATCTGGGACCCCTAGAAGCGATACTCTTCGAGATCTAAAATGTATTCTTTTATATCTGTAGTCACTGTATATACATGGCTATAAGATTCGAGAATTTTGGAATCAAAGCGTTGAAAAGCCGACATATATTTTTCCAAGGTATTTATAGAAAATACCGGTCCTTAACCGACCCCATATGATATCTTATTGGTAAAAAAAAAATAGTTAATGCCAAAAAGATTTAGAAGGAGGTTATGTGGTATTAAAAATTATGTTTTTTTCGCAGCATTGTCAGATAGTAGACGATTGGGTAGGATGTCGCAATTGTTAGACAAAGTGCCTGATGTGGATATTGATGGACATGGAAGATTTAAATATATTTTAATTCAAGTTCACGATGACACGAATAATGTTAGCAAAACCATTGTTAGAGGTTATGCGAGATCACAATGGCATTGTGAGTACATTTGGATTTTATATACTTGATATTCTCTTATTATTCATAAGGGCAAATTATGTTTTACAGCAATATTTTACACAAAAATTTTATTTAGTTGTAAATTATTTAGAAGTTACATAGCATTAGGCTAGAGTTTCACACATACCCTAATACAGTCATATTCTATTTACAATGATAAAGATATAGTCTGTACAGTTTTACACCTGTATGCATGAGTGTGCATATACAATGAAGTAAGTACACAGTTTAGGCATTGATTACCATCAAAGACACCTGCTCCATTAACTTATCCTAAAAGGTATAACATTTTTATGTATTTAATTACTTGATACATTTATTTCAAAATAAGTAAGAATCAGGTTTGATAATAATAGACATTTTTCAGCTAAAAAAATAGATTTTGGAATGTTCAATCCTCTTGATCAATGTTTATGATTGATTTTAAGCGTGTGGATGGGATAAGTTTTACATTATGTCATGAAATATGAGTTTGCTCTGCAAATAGTTAGAAGGGCAGTATGACTTTCATCTTAGAAATAGGGTGATAGGAACTGCAGAAATTGTAGCTGTATTTGCAATTACTGAAGTTAATTGTAAACCAATTTTTCCAGAGAAACGTGCTTAATTCAGTTCAGTAACATATTGACTACTACAGTAAAGTAATATTCATTAAAGATAAAAGTTAAGCATTAAATTTGAGGTGCCAGTCACTGATGACCCTGTGGCAAAACGTTAAGAATAAATTTTTGTAAATAATTAAATAAGAATTACAAATTTTGTTTTAAAAGTCATACGTTTCCACCAATGTTCTCTTTTCTTTCTCTATTGCACCAGTTATTAAACATCTCGACTTCTTATTCTTTCACGATAAAAGGGAAACACCATAGGTATTTTTCTATGCGTTCTGTATCTTCCCCCGTTACTAAGAAGCTCTCCTAAAGCAACACCAAGCTCTTTGTATATCAAAGCCCAATTTGCAGTTTTTGTGGTTCGTGTTCTTCACGTTTTTTACTTCATTGTTCTTTGTCGATGATGTTTCGGTCGCTTGCACCTGCCCTCAGGTGCTGTCACCCTCTTCGCAGTGTTCTATTAGATCCACGTCGATGTCCCTCGATTCTTTCAGTTTCTCCTTAATTGGCTCCAATTTACTACCCTTGTACTTGTGCCCGTTATCTTCCGGTTTCTCTAGATTGTCGGTGATTTCCTCACAGGTTCTTCCATAATTAGCTGATAGCTTTCCTGGCTCTCTGATCGGAGATGGAAATCCTACTAACTCCGAGTCTGTGTTGCTGTGCATCAACGTGAACGGTAATTTAAGGGACACCTCGCCACCCATTCCTGAGATCAACAGCTTCACCTGTGAAAGGGAGAGCGTAATGAAGATTGATTACTTTATCATGTAGAGTTGAAAGAAATGATCATTTTTATATCAGAGTTGTAGACTATAGTCCTATAAACATGAATTTCCCCTTTATTATGGGAGAGACGCGCAAAGTTATTATAATACTTTTGGGCTTCCCTATAATCGTGCTAAGTTTGGACCGGATCGTTGTTCTAAAGGTCGTATGCTCCCCTTCTAAGTTATTCACGGCCAAGAAGAGGGGACTGGATTACTAAGAATACATTCAAATTTAAATTTCACGTTTTTATCGGGAATTTCAAGCGATCCGGATAGTCTGTTACTGATTGCTGGTCGTTTTTGTTCACCTTCTCTGAAAGGGATTACCTTTACGTAATACGAAACGTATATCGCGAAGACGTTTCTGTCTTCTGGACCATTTCCAGGGCAAACGACAGTCGAGGCCAATGTAGCTCCTGCTTTCATGTAGCTGTCCTCCAAAGCGATCCAATTTTTCGTCGAACCTCTTATTGGTCTGAGGGTGTAGCTTTTCTGCAACGACGAGCCAGGACCTATCGGGCAGCCTTCTCGCGACGACAACAAAGCCACCACGTTCTTGAACTTCCCGTTGCTGAACATGCACACGTCTACGTGTTGTACGATGAACACCTGCGAAACAATCGGAAGTCTAATCAGCTTCACCGTGTACCGAGCAACTTCTAGGGAAACGGTGCGATTCAATTAGCCGTATCAAGGATTTCGAACTCGTCCTCTGTACACAAAAGTTTACACTTTGTTTCAGTTCGTTGCGGCCGTAACTTTAAGCCACCTTAACTCGAGGATTAGTTTCGTTTCATCGAATTTTCGAGACGCTTTGTCGACAACGTACGGTGTAACAAACGAATTGGAAAACTGGATGCGAGGAGAGTTCGATTAATTACATTTATTATCCTTTTATAAAATCACAAGAGTAATCTCAACTTCTCACGAAGTTTCTTCGCGAAAGATTGAGAAACGCGATAGTTAAGTCAAGATAGAGCCGCAACGTTTCCGGTTCTCCTTTAAGCATGATACGTAGCTGGATTACACGAGCATGTACGGAGAATTAAATTTCTCGCGGCTTTAATACCCTACGAGATCGTGGGTGCTGGTGCTCCGAACGAATTGCTTACAAGGAGAACTACCCAAGTGTTACACTCACTTATTAATGAAACTTTGCCAGCTTGTAGAGCTCGTCGAGCTGAACACGCCTATACCCTCTTTTGGGGGCAGACGGTTAATTGTTTGAAAGATATTAACAATTACAGTTAGTTACTACTTACATTGAGAAGTATGACAGACTCACACATACAACTCGCAATCTAGAGATCCATCATTCAAATCCTTGGTTCCCAACATCTTTTTTTTAAAATCATAATTTGTCTCCTTTTGAATAATTATTACATAAAAATTATCATTATAAAAAAAAAAAAAAAAAAAAAACGGGGGCCCAGGATTTGAACCGAGGGCCTTTAGATTACGAGTCATGTGTTTAACCACGGAGCAGATCCGTGACTTATAATTTGAAGGTCCTCGGTTCAAATCCTTGGTTCCCAAAAAAAATTTTTTTTTTTTATGATAATTTTTATGTAATAGTTATTCAAAAAGAGACAAATTATCATTAAAAAAAAAAAAAAAAAATGTTGGGAATCAAGGATTTAAACCGTAGGTCTCTAGATTGCGAGTTGTATGTGTGAGTCTGTCATACTTCTCAATGTAAGTAGTAACTAACTTTAATTATTAATATCTTTTAAACAATTAGTCGTCTACCCACAAAACGGGGTATAGGCGTGTTCAGCTCGACGAGCTCTACAAGTTGGCAAAGTTTCATTAATAAGTGAGTGTAACACTTGGGTAGTTCCCCTTGTTAGATGTGTTCGCTGATTAGAGTATCTCGGCTATTTAATCGCAACTGCCCTGTCCTTTACTTTTAACAATTACACCCGTACCGTCAAATATTAGATTTACACAGTTAAAGTTGTCGCATAACATTTGATCGTTCAACTTTGGAAAGCAATATACTGCGCCCATGGGATTGGTTTCGCGATAAAAGATAGAACCCACCTTGATCCTTCTCACGGATTTACTGCTGTTGTTATTGACGTTGACGTGAACCGCGATTGAATCTCCGTGGGCATAAATCGCACGGTCCAGTTTGGCTTCCAAACCCACGCGCCCGTCGCTCAATAGAAAAGGTTTTTCCACTGCAGCGTGCGGTGCCGCATTCTCTGAAAATCAGACGTTCGATAAATTGCAACAATCTGTACGGTGTCCTGGAGTAGTTGCAAGGACTTACGACCAAGGACGAGATCTGTTTTCTGGGTTAAAATTGGATTTGGAACATAAGCGACGAGGAGTATGAATGAATTTTAAAACAGTCTAAAATGCTTTTTCGTTGATCCACCTGGCTGGATGTTTCCGTATTTTCTTCGACAAATTTTTATCTTCCTCGGAAAACTTCGAATCTACATTCTAAGGATAACTTTGGAAAAAAGAGCTTACCTTCGTCTTCCGCGATTTCGTTCTCAGCGAACGTGACTCTCGTTTTGCAAGCTTGACTTCTAGAAGCAAGGAACGGGCTGCCGGATACTGGAACGCTGTAGACCCCGGTGTCTGGTAATGGTGGTTTCGAGGTTCGTTGTATTACACGGATACCCATTCTGACGGTCGTTTTCCGATGCAATTTCTCGTCTGCTCGTTCGGCTAAATTTTCACGTGTCGTGTACAATAACGAAGTTCAATAGCTGACTGTGAAGTTGTTTACAGAATTTCTATGAGACGAATATCGGAGGTGAAAGGTTCTTGAAATTTAAAGCGGTCCTAGGTATTCTAATTATCAAACGAAGCTCTTTGAAACATTGAAAATACAGTGTAAGATTAAATTTGAATGGTTACCAACCGAGTGATCCACCTTCGACTAAGAAATTCTGTGTAAATTAGCATCGATTCCACTTACTCACCCACGTAAGCTCTGACGTCGTAGCTGGTACCTATAGGTGCCCCATTGTATTCCTTCGCCGGCACCAATTGCACCGATGGGGGTGCTAAAGACGTGATTTCCATGGTGAACGCGTGAGCGTTCGAACCCAATCTCTTCACTAACGCCTCCTGAACAGGCAGAACAGAGTGTTTTATTAAAACATTATTCAGGAGTTCACAGACGTGACTCGATTAATATTTTTATACCAGTAATGATAATAAAAATCGGGGTGCTCCACTTGAGGGACTTTACCTTATTATAAGAATTCACGAAGAAATCGAGGGAGAGGAGAAACAAGGGTGCTCGATTCGAAGCGGCTCCTTTTCGATCATTTCCTCTTTTTATTCTCGGAATACAAAAGAACGTTATTTGAGGACGAGGAGAAATCTGAGAAACCCTTGAACGTTTCGTGAAATTGTCGTTTCGAATGGAAACCTCGACTACTTAGTTTGATTTGGTCGCTCGATATCCCGCGACACGTACATCGAAACCACTGTTAATTAACATTCAGTGTAGATAGGTGTAATCTTGGTCGCTAATTTGTCTGTAAATCCTCTATCGACCGGTCAACAGGTACAAATTTCCGTGAGTCGATCTGTCAATCTGTAATAACTCAATCAACCGTACTGCTTTTGCATAAGCTGGTGTCTCTAAATGGGCATGAAATGATCTTTAGATCCATAGGATTGGACGTGTAATTTCTGCATGGATGCGAGAAACTATAAAGCTTATGGATTAGTGATGGCTAGAACTGCTACTTGTGAATCACGAGTGATTCGATCACGTTCGTTCCTAATCACGATCATTTTTCACAGTGATTCGTGATTTTTCATCACTCAAAAAATCCGTAATTAACTGGTAACCTTTGACTAGCCAAAACTTATGACTAACTAGAACGTTCTTTATATAGAACGCTCTATATTGAAGCATTTTATAAAAAAAATTGAAGAATTACGAAGAGCAATCATCCAAGATAAGAAAATCACGATCACGATAACTGTGATAAATCACCGTTAGTGATTTTGCACGCCATCTCCATTATGGATATAGAGATTTGCCTTATCGATACAATTGGCTTTTCGTTCACCCCCATTGAACGATTCCGTTCCCCGATATTATCAATTTCCAATTAGCAGAATAGCAGCTGGTGTGTCCAACAATAATATCCAACGAAATCATGGAGAAAATATTGTACAACCGTAATTTAATCGAGGATAAAATGGAAACACGTTACGAGAGAAAATCGAAGATTGGTCGAAGCGTTGCCTTCTTCCCTGGCTACAAATCACGTTATGAATTATTCCCTGTGTCACGTATCGCTTTTGTATTGCAAAAGGATGCTTGTCCAGGCTTATCGCGCAGCTAAGTGTCAAGCATTGTCGAGATATCGTATTGTTGTACATCCGCGTGTATACGTCAGTTTAGTTGAACAGAATCGTAACGCGTTGAAAAATGTTCAATAGATATACTGCGTGAAAAGCTCTATTCATTCTCGTGGTAAACAGAACACTGAGTTGTAGTTTCGTATCAATGTTTTTCCTGTGACACGTTTGTTGGAAACGTTCGATTCTGTTGTAACGTTCTACCTTCTGGTAAATCAACATTGTAAAAAGAGATTATATTTAATTTATGGAAAATATTCATACGCCTTGTGTTCATTTTATCAACACCTTAAGTGTAAGTGTTCGGAATGGGTAGTAGAAAATCTTGATATTTCGCAAGTGGAGAATTTTCAGTTCCGCTCTAATAAATTCGCGGAGAAAATCCTTTCGCGCCGTTTTTAGCGAGTCCTAGAAGAGCACGAAAAGAACCGCGAATATCGCGGAAATTGGACGCTCACGTTGCTGTTTAATCCTTGGAAACTAGCCGACGAAAATAAAAAGGAAAAAGAAGAAAAGAAAACGTGAAGGCGAACGGTGCGTTTCAAAGGGATTTATTCGTGCAGGTGCACGAGATCTTTTTCTATTAAGAAATATTCTTTGAAGATAGGCGCGACCAACGATGCGTAAGATTTATACTCGATACCTTTACGACCCGAACACGTTGCCTTTGATGGCATAAAAAGATGAGAAAGGGACGAGGAGGAGACGTTGAAGGGTCGTTCGGGAGAAGATGCCGTTCTTCGTTTATTGGATTTTTCACCTTTCTTTCGCCATCCGATCGCTACTGATCGTTACAAACCAACATACACGATTGCCGTATATGGCAAATATTTTTCCTGAATTTCAATTGTTTTAAAATCGGAAAACTTCGCTCGCTCCAAAACGTACGCAACAATCCAGTGGACCTAGCACTTCGTTTAAAAGCTTTCATCGTTTCTGCTTCGAAATACAATGTTAGGACAGCGTAAACGCAAAGTTGGACAAACTTTTGTAGGGAACTGCGAACGGACATTTTACGGTTGTTTAAGGCAAACATCTGATCGGACGCTAAATGGCGGGCAAAGTATCGGAGAAAGTTTCTGCGACGAAACTTTCAACGATACGTTCTGATATCTCGTGAGTGGGCAAGTTTCGCGCCAGCTTAAGAATCCCAAAGTTCCGGTCATCGTTAACTCGTTTCTTCTGCCTCGAGTGAAACAGTCAACGCACGAATCCTCGTATCAAACCTGGAAAGGTTTCGAAGAATTTCGAATTCAAGAGGCGTGTTCGACTTTTATCTTCGACACGGTTGATCGATTAGGAATGCGATTCAAAATATGGGAAAAGGTGTCGAAGAGAAAAACTTGCGCTCTTTCATGTTTATGTAAGTTTCCCGGGTGATTTTTATTCCCTCAGAGTCCTGAAACACATACAACGATCCCTACGAGGATGAAATATTGAAATTTTTATTTTTACAATAACAGCGTTCGAAGAAATGGCAGAAAATGATTATTTGACGACGATTTAAGGACCTATTCAAAGAGAAAGGCGAAACCTTCCCCGTAAGTCTCCGTTTTCTCCGTTTCGAAGTTCTATTTGTCGGAATAAGAATCTCCTTATCCTTCCTCCTCGAGGAAGTGTTCGTTTTATTCTCTTCCATTTAAATCCTTTCTTCGTAAAATTAGATAGCATATTCAGGCAACATTTGCCACAGGGAGATGTTGCGTTCAGGATATAGAGGCCAGGGTCATTCGGTGCACAGGATCGAACCTGTTTGCGTCACGCTGCGCGATTCGAAATCCTTTTAGAAGAAAAACGAATCCTCTACGGTTACCAATTAACTTGGTACCATTAAATCGAAATAATCAGTCGATAGGTTTGTTAACGCATCGGATACAACGAACTTGCTGATGGTTAAAAAATTCTCCATGTTGCAATTGCATATCTACCGTATAAAAGACGATAGGGAAAACAGGATGAAAATCATGTCGTGTCACGACAGAATTGATTTACTCCAGTTTGCCTCGCGAGATATGACGTTTCTATTGGAAGAATTTCGCGTCCATCGACGGCTATCGAATAACTGCGACGAGGATACGAGTTCTCACGTATACAGAGTATTTGAGAAGAAAAAAGGTAGATAAGTTACAACGGAAATCTTAATTTTTAAATCTTAATCATTTGCATATTGAATTTAAAGAATTCTCGTTGGAATATTTCAAAGTCGCTCTAGATCCTCATTTTCTAAAGCCTTGAACTATTTTTCTAATACCTTATATTTTCTCCTCTCCATTTCATGGAAAGCAACTCATGACGGAAATAAAAGTAGGACAGGTGAAGAGATACCCCATCGACGAGGTAACATCGAATCAGGAGTTTCTTTTACCGTGAATTTCCACTCTGGATGCAGATGAGTTTGTTAATAGACTTTCTTATTTTAATGACTATTTAATTAACAAGCCTTTGAATTCCGAAGAGTTTTAAGTGAGAACTTGTAAACTCGATACATAATGAAAAACGTGGGAATATGGAAGAATTCTTGGGTAAAGATTATCCTATATCGATTGCAATTCATCGATGGAATGAATAATCTATCGCGTAGCCGCCGTAGGTGGCGTGAAATATCCAGGAAAAGGGAGAAGACTGATAAATAATTTCCAGGTTGCACTGGGCGACCTGACTGCAGGTCAGGGTCAGTGTCAAGGCTATCCTGGTGTAACCATCAGCCAATTCCTGCAGGATCTTGATTGACGAACGTTGCTTATTCGTACTTTATTACTTGCACTTGGATTTTTCTCTTTCTCAAGTACATAAAGGGTTAAGTAATTCCTCAAAAAACATTACCCTTAAGGATCAATTATTCTACAACTGTGTCACTTCAAACACGATCGTTCTGTGAATTCAAAACGATTAGATAAATTTCTGTATAACTCCCAGTAGTATAGACAAGTCGATACGATCAATAAGACTCGACGTTCCGAGACAAATATTGAACAACGTCGTTTCATAAGATTATCTTTCCAACGATAAAGCAACTACTTCTTACCCGACGATTATCATTCCGCCAAGTTGTTATCCTTCGCAATTTTCGAGTCGATGTCTGCGCCGTTCTCCGTTTCAATTACCGAAACGTTCCACCAACGAGTCTTTTCCTTGCTCTGATAAATTCAAAGAGACGCGTTCTCTGGTCGTTACGTAAATTCGCGCAACGATGAGCGAAGCTAGAGGAAACGACAAGTGTTCCAAGATGATTTTAGAAGCCGAAGAATTCGAGGGGAAAAAATAGCTAGCCAAGGAGGAGTTTCTTGTTATCGTTGCGTAACCTTTATTTCCATCTCGTCCAGACGAGAGAACCGTTGCGACCAGGTCTTATTGCAATGTTTCGCCTTCTATTGAATAACATCCAGGATTCTTAGTCGTCTCGATCGATTTTCATTCGTCTCAACGACGGAATTAAGTTTTCCCCGCTCGAAATTCCATTCATATTTCCTGGATTGTTCCTATTGCCAGAGGATCGTCGGAGTTTACGAGTTGTTTGCCCGTGGAGGGTCGTTTCTTTCTTTCTCTACCTTGTTCGGACACCTTGGTTACGTTTTGTCGCAGTTCCTGAAGGCTTTTTACCTCGCAACCACCCCCCGTGGCTCCTTTTCCATTCTGCTCGTAAAACGAACGTTCATAGAAGTACTCTCGCCAGATTCTAACTTCCATCCATTTCAATTACTCACGTTCCCGTTTCGTACACACCGAGATTTCCGTGTTCTTAATGCTTACCGTAGACGCTTGGACAGTATCCCGACGATTTATCTGCGAAATTACGATCCTTTCCGCAATTGATCGCGTTCGGTGGTTGCGGAACAATCCCTTCGAATCCCAGTAATGAGCTTTGCTTTCCCGATAAACGAATCACGGCCGTTCTTTCACGCAAGAATCAAGGCGATTGTTAATTAAACCTTCTGAAGGCAATCGAGGTGGTAAATCCAAGATTAAAAGAAATAAATTAAAGGAATAAACAACCTGGAGGAAATGAAAATCGTTTCGTCGAACGACTATAATCACCTTTGCTAGCGAAAGGGTTAAAGAACAAAGGGTTGATCTTTTTACGTTTCACCTCTTTTACATCGCATGATAATGAGAGATATAGATAAAAATTATACTCGTAGGTGTACGTTAGAGGTTTGATGGAAGCTTTTAGAAGCAGCTAGTGTAGAATGTTGCAGGAGAAGGAAGAGAGAGATGAGGGTGTTGCTATCGGAACGGTTCGATGCAGGTTGTTCGGTGACGCGGCGCGTATCAGTTACGAGGCTTACGACCTATATAACACGCGTCCCGTATTTCATAAGCTTAATGCCTCATTTCCGAACGGATCAACGATCTATCAGTTCCCTTAACGCCTTGTTCGTTCGAAACTTACACGGTTAGCTGACCGCTGTAACGAGCCGATCGCATGTTATACCTTCTCTGCGGAAATGAAATTGATACCAGCTCGGTTAATTTCGAACGTCTATGCAAATATTAACCTTCCCGTTGTTTGCATCGAAAATCGACTATGGATTCGATGAATTACGAAGCGTGTGGTTAAAACTAAAATGTTACCGAGACAAAGGGTTGATTTCTCTCATGGATACAGAAGAAGGCTATAAAATTTCTCCCTGGTTTCACAGAAAAACGCCTGTTTGTCTGAGTGCTTCTTCCGGTTTCGCGGTCGATTAAACCTTTCTTCTGAACGAAAGGCAAACAAGAAGGAGAAGAAGAAAAGCAAGCACACGTTCTTCAAATTGACAAATTTCAGATTTCCTCCTCGAGCATGTAACTCGTAAATTTTTTGATATAAAATTTTAATGAACTGGGTCACGATTAATCTGGTACCAGTGTTCGAAGGTTAAACAGTTCATTTGAAGCGTGGTTTCTCGGTGGTACAACGAGCAAAGGCGCAGTCAAAGGGTTGATTAGGTATACAGACCTGCAAAGGTGTGGTCTCCTGGTGATCAGAGCCAGAAAACGGTGGGTACAATTGAGCTAGGCACATAACAGCCTCGTTGCAGAATTTCAGTCCCATTACCTCTTCATCCTCTCGACCGTATCGAAAAGTCAACGTGATTTGCCCGTACACCTGAAACATTCAACGCGACGGCTAATTAGTAAATAGGAAAGCAAATAATTACGTCCGGGTTCGTTAGCGTTTCATGGATATTATCTCGATTCTCCGCATTCATTATACCTTCCGGTCGAATGTGGAATTATTCGATGCTTCGATAATGAAATTCATCGAGCCAATTGACAGTCCCTTAGTCAAGTTTTCCGGATGGTATAATTTTTCGATTTGACGGAGAATATTTTTACGTAACGACCTTGTCAGTTACACGAAGAAGCTTTTTTCTTCGAATTTACTGATTTGGAAATCGAGAAAATTCAGGATGATTCGAATAATCGACGATGCTTCGTTGAATTAGATCGGTTTGTTGAATTAAATTGCTTTCGAAAGTGTGTCAACGTTTAAAAAAAAAAAAAAAACAAAAACATTCTCCGAGTTCTTGCGGACGTGAAAATACGAAAAAAAGCTTGAAAGTTTTCTCGTGGAAGCTGTTATTCTTTTGACGCGCAGCTGCAGAAGGTAACCGTAGAACACTTTAACTTCCTCTGAAAGATCTAACAAGACACCGGCGACTTTATGAAAATATTCTTTGGACACGGCAGCTTTTCTCGCAATAATTCTTGAGAAAAAGTGAAGGTATTTGAAAAGTTCAGAAGTAAGACGAAATTAACCCATTTGCTACCGCGATCCCCAAATGGGGATTTCAATGTGTATATATTTTTTTTATCACTTGCAATAGGATTATATTAAATAAAATGTTAAATAAAAATTTGGTAGTTAATGGGTTAACAAGACTGTGGTTATGGCTGACTATACGTGGCTGTTACTACTGCGGCGGCAAAGCGTTAACTCACCCTTTTGTCTTGCAAGTAGTCAGGGTCAACCAACAGCACGCCCTGCAGTTTGTCGATCCTCGACTCGCTCACTATCAAATCTCTGCTCGCCAAATAAAGCGTCAGTTTGTTGTTTGGCGACGACTTCTTGTATACCCTGTGGAAGAAAAAAAATCATCTATCAAAACCTGATCTCGAACGGATTAAAGATCTTTCGTAAAAGAAGATCAATCGAAGCCTCGTCGTTTTATACGGAGAAAATACGAGACACAAAGGGACGCTTTGATCATTTTCATGGCAGCCCTGTGTGATTAGAAGGACGCTGTTAATAATCCTATCGATCACTGTTAGCAACACGGACAATCACGACATCGCTGATCGATGCGGCACCGGATATTTATTCAACGGTTTAATCCGAAACCGCAGCCTGTTACGTTGCTCTGAATGCATTTCTCTCGGGGACATGGAGGACTAAGCCTCCCCGCTCTTCTCATCGTTGCTAAATTATCAGACACGAGTATGCGAGATCTGTTTGCCCATCACACCGACTGAATCGACAGTTACCGCTATTCCAGCGTGAATCCTGTCCTTCGAGAAACGATCCTTCAACGTTTCAACGAAAATTTTCACTGGGATAAAAACTGGGATAACTTTAAAAGTGTTTTAAATCCACTACGCGAGGAGTTATTTTGTTTAGAATGCGTAACGAGAAACGAAAGTGAACAGCGGAAAGCTTTCTTGAAATTATAAAAATTGAATGTAATTCCAAGAAAAAGTTTCACCGCACGAGGAAAGAAGATGGATATCTTTCGGTTATCCGAGTTCGTTAGAGTTTGATGACGTAACGGACCACTGGTGGCGAGGTTCTTTTTCCGCTTGTTTAACAGCCACGTTTGTTTATACTTCCGGAGATGATCGTAACGAGGTTCGTTGTCGCGTAACCATTGCCCACTCGCTCGAGAAACTTTCTCTCAGCCGCGTTTTCCTACCAAACGGGGGGATGTTCCACCTCCGCGAGGTACACAACTTTCCTTTCGATCAATATTTTTTCTACATCTCGAAATAGATGATCATAAATATTCTAATAAAAAGTGTTTATAATTACCTTTGACTACTGATGGAGTCTGACGCGTTGTCGATCGTGATCTCCACTTTTCTGAAATAAAAGAAATTACGATTCTTCAACAGGGAATTGAATTCTATTCCTCGTTTGCTCACGGAACAGTTCTCTGGTCGTAAACGATCTTTGACCAGGGGGAATCGGAAACGAGATTCCGATATTGTGAACCAACCCTTGGGTTCACCTTCGAACAGCCCTTTTTATGCCAGAGTAAAACTGTTCGATCGTATTTTTCGGGTTCGGTCAGCCTCGCAAACTCTCCTCTTCCGTCTGACGGTTATGATTTATTCAAGAAGTTGTCACAGTAACGCGACGCGATTGATCGAGAATGGAATACATTAAAGCCTTTTGAATTTTTCCGACCGACGATCGTTCTGGCCCATTTTCACCGACCCTGTTACCGTTCACTTCCTTCGCCCATTAAGGGCCCGACTTTTATTTCAAGGGCCAATGACTGTCGTTATTTTTTACGATAACGATACCACCTAACAAACGTGGCTACCTTTTCCATCATCTATCTACTTCAAATCACTCGTTCGTTTTCTGCTTTATCGTGCATCGTTCGCGTCAAGGAAACAAGCGAATAAATATCGCGTTGGGCGGCATCTGGTGAAATTTATAAGGGGAATAAACGCGCCGGTCCTGTATAGTGATTGTCTTGAAAAGAAGGAGAAAAAGGAAGACGAGGGGAGGACGAATTATAGCCAAGCTTGGCTGTTTCGGAAAACTAATAACCAGTCGTAAAGGGAAAAAAAAGATGATTGGAGGCTTCGAAGAGGGTTCGTTTTCTTTTGCTGGGAAATCCATGGAGTTCGCGAACGATGATATCGGGTCAAGGATTTCCCGTTACGTTTCCTTTTATCCACGCGACGAATGTCTCGGTTAAACACGAATTCCCGTTGAAAATTCGAGCTACGGTTAAGCTCTGTATCTTCCGCTAATTAAATAGCACGTAACGCTTCGTAAACTTCTGTTTTTCTTTCCTTTTATTTAATTACCCAGTTACGTATAATGCGAGGTCTCCGGTATCCCTTCATAACAGCCAACCTGTTAACAAGTTCCTTCGACAAAGTTTCGCGACAAACTCTTCGATAAGTACTCTTCGAACTCTTGAAACAGTAGTTTGAAAATAATTTCAAGTGTCCGGAGGAGATTAGCTGTACTTTACCGTTTCTACCATCGAGGAGAATGCGATACAGCCGAGAACAGAGAAGGATAATGAAACCTTCAACGTAGCCAGCTGAAGACAAGGTAAAAAATGTTGTCGGAGGTTGTTTCGCACGTTCGCGCGAACGCTGCCAGGATATACGCCCTCCGTGGATTTACGCAACATAACCATAAATATCCGGGTCTCATCTACGAGCACGTTCATACGAGTAGGTGGAAAAGTAATCGAAAAAGAAAAGTAGAGGGTGCGTGGATAAAACAGATGCGACACGGGTAGGACTTTAAATCAAGTTTTCAATTTGTTCGTTAGAGAATCTTCGCGACCCATTACTACCTGTACGCCCTTCCAATTTTTATCAATTAACGGATACATCGTATAATTTCGCAAACGAGCTCGCAGTTGTTCGTGGTTTTTCCATTGTTCCCAACAATGACGCTCGTTTGTGAATTGTTGAACGCGAGTTTGATATTTGCATCGATGAATGCTCGTATCTCTACGCTGCAATGATACCCGGGATGCGATATCAAATTACACGCGATGCAATTAGTGTAAAGGTACTAATTGATCAGCGAAACATCGTTTCGTTAACGATTCCATTCCGAGAGAGGACTTTGTTTCTTTCTTCGAATGTATAACTCATTAATTGCAACGTTAATATCTGTTCGTCATTATTTCGATGCTGATTTTCATTAAACGTTTCTTTACGGTTCGCAGGATAGCTCGATAAATTAAATGAAAATATTTCCACGCTGTTTACGGATAAACGAAAAATAATATCGCACGGTTACGTCGCCGTTCGTGCATATAATAAATGCAATGACGATGAAGCTGAATAAATTTCCGACTAAATCGGATTCACCAATTTACCTTTTATTTATCGAATTGTTGCCATAATATTTTCTCAACGATTGTCGATTGCTTTTTTTGTTGTAAATGTACGCTTCGCATTATTTTTCAAAGAAAATTCTAAATAGAACTGTATCAATTTCGTAACGCGGTGAGTGGAAAATTTTAATTGTTAAATGAATAACTATTATATAATTATAGCTTTTCTTAACGCACACGTTTGTTTTCATTGCAGCGTTTAACGCGTTAAATTGGCAGGCTACTTTGAAAACGGCGAAGCTACGAGACTAATGAAATAGATTAATTAGGGGAAACGAATTAATGACTCGCAGAGAATCGAGAGTGAATGAAATGCTGAACAATAGGTTTGGTCTTAAATATAATACCTTCGTTGACTCTTGTTGAGAGGCTTTTCTTGTTAAGATTACCTATCAAGGCGTAAAAGTTAAGACAAGAATAATGATGGGAGGAAAATATTGTCGAGTTACAAAGTAAAGATGTTATTTAGCAATTTTATTGCCGTACATTGTGTTTTACCTTTAGAACGGTAAATTATGTAGCATCTACTTTCAAACATTTATTTAAAGCAGGAAAAATGTGAAAAGATATTTCACATGAAAGTAAGATAAGTTGATAGAGGAAAATTAATGAAATATCCGATACCGTGCGTCGTCGACTTTCCGGACGGATTCCCGGTATTTATAGGGGATCACGGTTATTGTTTATTTCGTCACGATTCATTTTCTTTGCAAGAACAAATGTCGCTGGTAGATAAAATCCATTCGAACCTTTCTATACTACAAGGAAAATTTCCTACCACGTTTGCCAAGTTTCAATTTGCTCGTCGACTAGTGGGATCGGCCCTTCGACTGTCTGAGTGTGAATTAATTAGCTGGTCGTAATTAATCAGTCGCGTATCTCTCGAATCTTATGGTCGTTCACAGACCATCTGTTGCGGACTCGCAGTTCGCCATCGTTCTTCGCTCTGTTGTTTATTCGAACCAACGAATAAAGCAAATCTGCTGATCGTGAGAAACATCTTGATCGAAGGAAATTTACCGGACGAATATTCGAAACGGTTTAACGATGAACGATGATGAAAATTTATCATAGCGTTCTCTTATTACAGCTTGCTTGCGTTAAAATTTAACGAACGAGCTTTTCTCCGGTGCAATTAATTTACGGATGAAACGCTGATGGTGTTTTATGGTATGCTTATTACATGAAACATTTGCTTTGTCACTTCGAGTATAAATGAAATAGTTGGTTAATTTACGACTATCATAATAGTTCTTGTAGCAAAAGGATCAGGATCCAATTCGACTTTGAAGGCAAAACGGTGAATTTCACAGGCTTCGTGTTCGAATTTCAAACGGAACTCTCGATAACGGAGCGAGGAAATTTCGTGATCAAAACACGTGTCGTTGGAGATCGTATTCCTCGTTAAATCAAATTTATGCCGAATCAAAGTCCATTCGTACAAACCGGGTTTTCCTGTGCCCTGCACAGATCCGCTTTCCTAGCCGGAGGAAAATAGCCGTGCAAATTAATTAACTCAGTTAACGAACACCTGCCTCCCTTTCCTCGTATAGAAAGGTTTTCGGATTTTCATGGAAAGCGGATTTATTCTTTTATTCGTTTCATCAAATTAATTGTTATAATTCAACTTTTGAATTCTTTTGTTATTCATGCATCGTATAATTTTTAAACACGATCTCCCTTTTCGTTATAAAAAATCTTAGCAAGCGTGCCAAGAAAAGCTTAGGATATTCCTTTATACCGAACGAGCTTGGATCTTGTTTTTCTCTTCAGAAATAAAAACTAACCACGTCCATCAAAAGTGGATACGAAACACGAAAAAGACAGAGTTCGAGCTTTGCAATTAGCCTAATGATACGGACAGTGCCTGTTTTCTTTTTTGTCTGTTCGCGATTTCTCCACGGCCATTACCGCATTTTCCACGTGTTTCGCGTTGACACACGACTAGAATGGGCGTGGTTACGATCGTAAATTGTTAGAAAAGCCATGAGATCCTTTATGGCTTGGATGTCGCCGATATTATCGGCCGATATAGCTTACAGAACAAATTGCGTGCTCACCTGTCCACTTGCGTGTCGGTGGGTTGCAGATGCGGCAACGATTGGGTCTGTTGTAATCTCTGGGCTTGGTTTTCCGATACGATCCTATCTTTTTCCTCAACCTTTTGGTCCTTCGCCTCATCTTCTGTCCCCTCGTTATCCTTCCCTTTACTTTCCACCTATGATCAAACGGAACACGGTTATTTACAATTGTAAATATCGATTAATATATTGCAGTCTGTATATGCACATATTTTAGCATTTCATTCAGTTCGTAGAAAAATTTATGTACATAGATTTGAATGTTTCAATTAAATTCTGATAAAATCTGTGCTCACATTTTTTTCTTGTATAATGAATCTAATAACGATCATTTCATTTTTATTTTTTATATGGAAAATTTAAAATGTTCATTCTCACAGAAAATGTCAATCAAATTGACTTTTTACCTAACCGCATTAAATAGAATGTCGTTGGTCGGAGGACAGGGTTGTTAACGCGTCGACTGCCGCAGTGAAAAAAGACCGCGTATAATCAGACACGCGCTGTGATTGCAATTATTCAGAATATCATCGTCTCATTTTTCAATTAACCTTGCTAGCTCGCCAATTAATATAATAACGATCGTGTCAGTTTTCGATTTAACGCGTCTAATATAACGGGGGTTCATCATGTTCCATACCGTAATAGGATAAAGAGGTACTCGATGTTCGGTGGAATCGGACGTTGCACCGGTTGCTTCCGGTTCCGCGTGTCTCTCCTCTTCGGCCATCTCCTCCTTGATCTTTTCGCGGTGGCCGCACAGGCCCAGGAAACAATAGAAAACCACGCACAAAACAGTCACCGAATAGTTTGACACTTCTCGATAGTTTTCAGCCGAACTTTCGGCTTCCCTCGTTCATCGGTAATTGCATGTTTTGTCGCATCGCGACCAGTTTGCCATTCGCTTGGCTATAAATTTTCCTTTTGACCAATACACGGTTACCCGATGGCGAACAAATTCAATTTAACCCGTTCGTTGCCAAAGGCAAACTATCGTACGAGATTATTAACACTTTGATTGCCAGGATTTAGTTTCCTGATTTTCTAACGCGCTCGCGCTGTATTGGCAATCAACGTGTAAATAAATGAATTTGTTGGAAACGGTGACCTAAGGCTACGAAAAAGCTACACGTCCAGAATCGGAAATGGATGGATTGTTTGAACTACGTGATTGAATCGGAGGGCCAAGATATTAATCATAACCACGCTGTTCCATATACAATTCCAGATTTTCTTTCTCCCAGTTTTCATCCCTCGTGACAAGTCAGAAAGGTCGAAGGCTGTCTAGCGGAATAAATTCCCTCTCTTAATCGTCGATGAGAAGTTACTTGAACGCCGGTCGATCGTCGACCTAATAAGATCTTCTCTGACTTATAGAAAAGAAAAAAAAAAGGATTGCAAATTCAAACTTCTGAAAGGATGCTGTTTCCCAGTCTCCTGATTATGCCTACTTATTGAACGTTTCCGGAAGTAATACGACGTTCTGGAAATATCGTATCGATATCCATTTTCCGGACGTACCTCTAATATCCCTCCAAGTCCCGAAACACTTTTCATACCCGAGAAAATAAGGGGTTTCAGACTGCCATTTGATATCACGTATCACGATCGTGCTTTCCCTTCCGGCAGACTTTCGTTGTTTATTCCCGACTTCCCTTTTGTGACAGCCAAGTAGCGTACGTAATATCTTTAATGGAATCGGTAAGTTGATTCATTTTTTAATTGCTCCAGCATGAATTTTACATTATTGTGCGAAACGTAACAGGAGGGCGGTAAAGTTCAAAGGTCTCTGATTTAATTCTCATTTGCACGGGAAAAATTAACCAACTTCCTTAGAAGGTTCTATTAAAACTTCGAACCCGAAGTTGTTTTCGTTTAATGCATTCAAGAGCCAAAGGTTATCGGGTGTACCGAATTTATAATAGTACTTTAATAAATGAACAACTGTGAGGGGGTTTATTAATGATTGATGCCTTGAATGTAAAGTAATTGTATAATCGAAAATAAAAGAAGTTAGAGGGAATTCTAATTAACAGATGGAAAGTTTCAGTTGGGGAATTAATAACTGGCTAATACATCACGTATTCTTTCTAGCTTGAATTTCATTTTTTATTTCAAGGATTAGGTCGGATAATCTACTACGAATTTCTTCACGCCCTGCTAGCATAAAATAAGGGTGTGAAATTCAATGTAGCATGGCGAACACCAACTCCTTTCGTGTCGGAATTTGTTTTTGCACGTCTAGACGTATCCGATTATCTACCTGTCAGTCATGATTACTTCACGCTATAATTCATCTTCATTTTCAATTTTTCTACGGCATCGACCAGACGACATTACTTATAAACGAGTAAAATTATTCAAAATTAGTTTCAGACAGTGATCGTTTTAATTTAATTTTAGATTCTTTTTATTTTCTACCTTTTGCACTTTTTTTTAAGGTGAAAGCTTTTCGTTTAAAAATTTCGATGAGAACTATGGAAGCCACGAGGAAAACGAGATATTTTCGTGTTCCGGTATAAGCGAGGGCAATCTGTGAGTTTGCGGAAATCGACAGTCGCGGTTGCACTGATTTAATTGTCCGACACCTGTTCGTCTCTCTGTTTACCCTCTAGGCTAGTTTCAACATCGAGAATAACAGGTCGGAAAATTGAAGGGAAAAATAAAGAAGCGATGTGAATCGTGAGCGAAAGGTACGAAAGAAAAATTGAAAGCATACGTGTCCGTGTGCGAAGGTAACATGCCATTCGTCATTGGATTACGAGTAAACGAACGTTGCGTAAACCTGATGATACAGTTCGTTAATTGTAAGCCGTTATTATATTGTCCTTTGCGTAAGAACACGTAATACCAGGTGTAATCGGACACGAAAGCCTATCTTGATTAACCGATTGTCAGGTGAACGCGTTCTCACACTAGTCCGTTAATTATCCCTCGAGTAATTAAGTTGTAATTAATAGATTACGGATCTTTGGAAGAAAACTGAAATATCGTTCTACAAATCATATATAAATTTTCAGTACGACGTTCGGAGTTATACTAAAACTTAAGTCATGCTATCGTGCAGTAGTAGGATGAAATTTCACCTTAGGGGCGTTCTCGAGTTACTTGTTTATTTAATATGTTTATATTAAACTCAGAGCATTAATGAAGTCGTATTTGCGTTAGGATGAAAAATGAGCGGAATTTCGTTCAAAGGTATTAGAGTTAATCGTGAGTTAATTCGCAGTCACGTCTCTGGAGATTAGGAACTTCTGAAATAGCAGTGGTACGTGTAGGATCCGTTTTAGAAGATGGAGGGATAAATTATTCCCCGTATGCTGAAACCTCGAGGGAGATAAATTTTCGAAGACACGCCCAGTTGATTTTTCGACCATAGGAAAATTCTATAAGCCACGATACTCATCCATCTTTCATGAGCGACTTACCAGTAGAGACGCTTCCTGCTACCAGTATTCGACGGGTTCTTCGATCATTTCGTATGCAAGTTTTTCGTATCTCTTTCCTTTTGTAATTCCAAGCGAATAAAAATCTCGAGAACACGACCGAGGGAATAGTTTAAAATTTAAAAAGTGAAAGCACCATAAATCCTAGTGTGTTACCATGGGAATGTTTGATCACCGAAGAGATAAAAACCGAAGAGAAGGAGATACGAAGTTTTAAAAATATTAAAGAACGTTCAATATCGCTTTTTGTGGTTCTCGCAGAAGATTCAAGGTCTCCAAGAGAACCTTGACACAAAGGAACAGAAGGTTCAACAAATATTCGATATTTATCCAAGTTAAACTCCTTCCAATTGTGTCTCTTTCTCGAATCTTCATATTCTTCTTTTATCAAATGAACTGATCACAGAGCTGAAAGAAATCCAGCACCGGAAATTTAATTCCTCTTTTCTAATTTAAATAATCTCCCTTCGTGTATCACCGCGAAAATTTACTTTAACTCATTTATAATCAAAATTATTCCTGTCCGTATACCGTCAACGAAACCCCCAAGATTAAGATGCTTAGTTTTAGCCCGGGCTGGCTCTAACAACACGTTGAATAATGGAAAGCCTTCGAGAATTACCTGTCTTTCCTGAACCGTGGAACAGGTGCGTTCGAACGAACTTGTTCCACGCTATATCTTAACCAATTTTAGCCTCTCATCCCTGTTTAAGAACACTAGAACTGGAATTTCCTTATTATATTATCACACTTCGTGGCTGACCCACGTAAATATGGTTTAAAGCTTTTCAGTCGCATATTTCTTTATTTTCATTGCAAATAAAAAATATTGAACCCTTATTAGGACACCGTTTCCCATACATGTTTTCGAAAGCTCCATTCAAATCATTATTTATTATCATCGAAGATTAACAACGATACGATTCGAAATTTCCACCCCAATTCCCTGGTGAATAACACCAGACAGAGCTGGTGTACTGGCTGGTTTTACTTACGAGCACTGTACACGCCACGCGAATTGCCAGATCACAACTGAGACCATAAACAAACGCAAATGTCTTTACGACACTGTGTTCACCTTTATGCTAGAACAGGTTTCCGGTGAATCACTTCGATCAACACACAATTTTCAATGTTCACGTTCTTCGGTATCAACTCCAACAAATCAGAACCTCGATACGATTCCTTTTTATTAATTCAGAATTTCGATTTTTTTCTTAATCAATTTCTTTGGACAATTCTGAATATAAATTGTTAAATTTATTCGAAATTCACAGAAAGTGTTCGTGAATTATCGCAGTTGATTTTTAGTAATCGATAGAAACGGTAATTCGATAGGAAAATGTTGTTTTTCTCTAAACGCGACCGCGGGAGTCGCGCGCAAGTAGTATAACTCAACGATGCGTCAGACGTGCGACGTCTAGCACGGCTCGCCGACTACTGAGCGAACAGACGCAGGCGTCCAGGCACCTGTCGTCTTCTACTCGCTGTTATGATGCGAAATATCTAGCTGTTCGATTGCTTACTCGCTTTCGCGCGTACATTCCTCGCGTATTTCTACTTGTTGAAGCGTGTTTGCCTAACGTGCTAGTCTCTTTTCCCTGCTGACCTGTCTTTTTCATCGAATTGATCATTAATCATTCATAACTGTATTTCTTTTACACTGTTCGCAAAGTTTTTAGCAACTTTGTTTCAAAAGATTTCAGATTACAATTGAATTCTTTATTTACAGTTTTTCGTTCAATCCCTTACTGAATCGTTAACTTCACGTTAATGGTTTTCTGTTGTAAAAATAAGACGTAGGAGCTATATAAATTACAGTGTAATTTGTGTATCAGTATACTTTCTAATTATGTCTACTAGTGGTCGACCTAATAATAAATGTCTGAAACAATTTTTCACGACGAAAAACCACTATCACTTATCTCTTCTATCTAGGTTATTTTTATTCCATTTTATCTCCCTGATTATACCCACTTTACCGGAAATTCTGAGTAAAAGCTCTTGTGTAAACTCCCGAACGAACTAGTCAAATTTCGAGGTACAATCCGCTTATCCGAACGTGAATTTCTATTAATCAAACAAAATGTCCTCTTAAATTACAGATATCGTAGGAAAAACGTCACTCTGTATCAACATATTTTACACCTAATGAAAAGGTTGTAGTAAACACGGTTTCCGAAACTACCACTTTCAGTTATACGGAATCGTGGAGCCCTGTACCCAATAAAAAGAGTCGTAAAAGTAGGGATACCAAAGAACTGACGATGTAGCGGGTCAGACTTGGGTTCGGTTCCTAATGCCGGCAGTTCCTTTCAGCGGTATGAAATACTATGGGGTATTCTGATTCTATCGGTTCTAAAAGTAAACCATTGGAAGGCTAAAGTAACCACGTGGAAAAGATTCTAGGCTCTAGGGTCCAGAGACAAAGGACTTTATCCAGCTCTTTCGCACTTCTCTCGTGCAAAAAGTCATTCTTTATTTCGATGAATCTCGTGGAACTTGAGGAATTTCTAAGTTTTAGGCTAAGAAAAGAAAGCGTCTAGGAAAGTTCGAGGTCGCGTGTACGAGTGTATCGTTCATACGAGCTGGAAATATTATGCGAGCTCTTTTTTCCCCAGATCGCTTTATACCACAGCCAGGATTCTTTTCACCCTCGCTCTCGTCATGGGCAATTATCGATTCTCCGAACGATAGGCCGAAATACCGTGGGATCGACGTTTAGGCACGACCTCGCTTTTTATCTGGGATAATCTGTCGAATGATCCTGAGAAGAGAGTCTCTGCATCGTTTTCAAGAAAAGTGCTTGAAATTGATCGCTTTGGATCGTTTTCAACCCCCTACACAGAAGGTTAATTGCTCTTACAACGTGCAAACCCCAACTCTTTTTTTTTTTTTTTTTTGAAAATATCTTTTTCATTGCGAATAAAAGCTCCAATGTGTCAGAGCAATTCGATATTGCGTGGGTTTCGCTTATCGTTTGATATTAAACCCTCTGACACCGCTTTTCCCATGGTAAAAGAAAAATAAATTGTTACATCCTCTAAAATATTTACAGCGTTTAACTGGGGCTTATACGATAACAGGTCAATTGCCAGTTTATTTTTCAAACGAGCAAAAAATGTATTTTCATCGACGATTAATCGAGGAAAAGTTCGCGAGAAATATCCGGCCAACTTTTGGCCGCGTTACGGTACGAAACTTTAGAGGCGAAATCGGGCGGAAACGTCGAGGGAACAGCATCGATTTCCTGTGAGTTTCTTGGAAACTTGGCGATTCATTTGTTACCACGTATATTTCATTACCCCCTTTTGTCGGCGGACGATCGTAAACCTCGAAACTCTAGACACAGACATTATTGAATAACCTGTCGACGTGATCGCGTTTGTCGAAACTTCAAACCCGGAAATTCGTGCGTCTACCGATGAACGTTTAATATTCTCTGTTGCAAATTTTCCAACAATTCGAAGACAAACATAGCTGAAATTCTTGACAAGTTTCAAGAGATCCTTACCAGTTCGATATTATCGAAATTTTAACGTTAACATTCTAACACACTACCCCTTTTCGTCTACCATCGAACATCGAGTTTATAATTCAACTACTTAGAGAAATTCAACTTCGTTTAACCTGTTGAAAGTGTATCGAAACGTGTTTCCCTGCAAAGGAAGAAAATAAAATGAAAGCGAAGAAGAAAGAGGAGAAAGGTAGCGGATAACGTTTCCGTTTCAAAGAACAAGCTCAAAGACTCGTACTCGAAAGACTGTCCTCCTCACAAAGGCATCTCTCGTTTCCTGCTACACGATCGTCGCTCGGCCAATCGGACCGGAAGTAGTCAGCGTACCGCTTGTAATTGAGTGGCGTGCGATCGCCCTTTAAATCTTCAGCAAAGTAAAGGCTGCGTTCTGTGTGTACATACATCGGTTACCTTTACAGGCCACCATGAGAGCCGTGTAACATTGTCGGGCAAAGGTAAGAGGGATACAACTTGGAAATTACCAGAAATCGATGAGAAACTAGCATCTCGCTCTCGCAGTGGGTACTAAAAGCACGATCGGGTAAGTCGCTAAGTGCGAACCAGGGTAAGGGAGCGGAGTCGCGTAACGACTTTCGCTTTTAAGGTGAAAAAAGCTAGATGAAATCGTAGAAAAATAAATTTTCCCCGGTCATCGAACCTTCGTTTCCGGAATTCGAGGATCTACGCAAACACATCGAGGATATGCTTGTTTCACCCTGTAATCCGCCTTCACGGCTAACCGTCTCTCCCTGTTGGGATAATGAACTTGAGGACAATGATTATGCCGCCCTAATTAACTTCCCGCGACCTTTTCCATACGACAGCCTCTTCACCGTTCCTCGATAATTGGTACACCCTTCGACCATGTTCGTTCATCGCGCAGATTAATGCCGAGGAAGAACCTCTTACGACTATCATTTATTTAAAACGCACAGATTTTTATTCAGTGACAGAAACCGCGTAGACCGTTCTGCAATACTGGTGGTTTAATTTGCCGACGCTTCCGCTTTGCAGTCAATTTCCAGATTCGGTTTCGATTCTCTGTTCAAGGAGGAATCGCAACGAAGCGCGGATAACGTTTTCGACGTTAACACGGCACCACCTTGCGTTTCAACTTGGCACAAAGCCCGTCACGACCACACGAACTGCGTTAAACACCGAATTCGCAACGATCCTACGACCTTTGCGTGAAATCAGACTCGATATCAAGGCTCGCAACTTTGTACGAGTCTTAACTCTTTGGATACCTATCACGTATGATACCACGATGGACTGGTGGAATGTCGTGGACGAATGAAACACGAGAGACTGGTGGTGCCAGTCACCTGTCACCCTCCTCGTCACGTTGAAATTGTATTTTAAAAATGATCAAAACGATTAAAAGCGATAGGGTACAGAAGTAAAAAAAAAAAAAAAAAAATGAAGCTTTTGAAAACATTGCAATACCAAGCTTTAAACCACCACCGATCAATTCTTTTATTCCGAATTGTACTGGATGATTTATTCGATAAATCTTGTCAGATCGATGACAACAACTGAATCGATTTTACAACAATGTTGTGTTTTTGACAATTGATAGGTTCGTATACCTTTTGGATAGATTGAAAATGGAAAAGCAGCGTGTATAGTTTATCCGAGGTAGAATTTATAAACGAAGCGTACGCTTCGATCGAATGCACAACTAATGCAGCGTAAACGTTCGATTTATTTGGTTATTCGAAAGCTTTGTTCGATCCATACCCCGTAGTTTATTGGATGAATTCATTATTCATGGAAACACGACCTTCTCTATGATTTCTATAATCGTGTAAAAGTGTAATAATATACTTTAACGTTCGTTTGACTAATTCTTTTCGTCGCTGGAAATGAATATAAACTTTCCTTTGGTCAAGGAAACCATTGCGAGATTTTCTTTCATTTTTCTGCTTCTGATAGAGGGAATATTGATTTGTCTGTAGCGAGGGAATAAAAACGGGTTCTTCAATAGAATATCGTAAAAGAGAAAATTTCATTTTAACCCGTTTACATTACAATATGGATATTTTTCTTTCTTTTAGTAAGATAAAATGTTTGTTTTAGCTGACATTTTCGATGAGACTGGGTTGCAGTTACAATCGATTCCCGGGCTGAGGCCTAAATGTTTAGGGGGTGGAAGAATCGAGCACGATCCTGACGAGAGAATCCTCAAGGTGTACGGATATTCTCAGGTGAGCTAACGAATTATCACGTTCTAACGAACTTCGTCGCCTCGACGATCTGATCGATTAACCATCTTCTTTCCCACTAATCATTTTCTCCCGCCAGTTTGTGAGACACTTGACACCTGTCCTGTCTCTATGTAAATCTGTTTCAGCACACAACCTGTTATACTCCATACCATTTATTTATTGAACAGATGAGCAAATATCCGATGTATAACATATGTTTGCTTTCGGTTTTAGGGCTTTGGAAAGGCTGATCACGATGTAACAGTCGGTATACTGGAAAAGAGATTTCCCGATTACACTATTAGCAGCTCAGACGAAGGATACTAAGAAGAAGAAAATGATTTTACATCGAGCAATTATTTATATCTGCGTAATAATATCGAATAAGTAATTTAATAAAGAATTTGTATGATTTATACAAGACTCTCTTCTTTACCCTTTTTCAAAAAAACCTACGCGTTCTTAGAAAGTACCATAAGCACCATCTAGTGATGGGCGATAAAATGAACCAGATGGAAAATTGTCACTGTCGTATCTGCCGTGTATAATTTTAATTCCTACCATTAAAAGGGGCGCGACAGGAAACCGATCATAGTTGGTATAGCAGGGTGTGACATGAAAATAGTATGAGGCTAATCTTCCATTTTATGGTAAATCTACCTTACAACTCGCATGTGGTAACATGTAATGTTCCAAAGATGGTAAAATGACCTCCGAAGGTATCGATAATTCCATCGTTCGCTGCTAGAGGACGTTAATGGTATGATCTTAAAAAAACGAGGGATGATATCAAATGAAAAAGCGATTTTCATTTTCCCGCATGCATGGCACACTTTCCGATTCGATTCCGCGGAAAAACAATTGCAAAATTCGTTGCACTTGACAACCGAAACCGTTAGTTGCCATAATTTGGACATGTCGTGCGCTCGATGAAGGCGTTACAAAAATTTCTAGTAATTCACCGACAGGATTAACAATGTTTTCCCGGGCCGCTAAATCAATCGTGAAGACCATCAGTCAGCGGAAGTATCACGTTGGTGATGAAAACAAGGTGCACAATTTTTTCGGATACGATCCGATCCATCCGATCCATCCGACCCCGTTCTTCTTAATTGACAGATAATTTCTCTCTTTCTTGTTAACAAAATATAGCTGGCGATGATTGGAGGCACAGGTGGAATTAGCCGATCCTTGTCGCAGATGCTGAAGCAAACCTCAAAGCTCGATGTCCTCGCGTTGTACGACGTGGCTTCGTTGAATAAAAGATTTACATCGATACCGAACCGCCTGCATAATCTCAACATCGGTGAACCGATTAATTCCGAGGTAAGAATTTTCCCAGATAATTTGGAAACGAGCTGCTACTTAAACGCGATCGCTTTAATTAGAAACCGACGCTGTTCTCGATGTTGGAAAAATCACAATCGAGTAGAGGCAACATCGAACCGGTAAGAATTATCCAAACTTCTGGTCACAAGTGTAATTATAATTAAATAAAAATATGTTTCGCGTAAATAGGTTGAAACCCAAGAACTAATTGAAAACCTACGTCGTCTACCCCTCGCCGAAGAGAGTGCAGCAGAGCAAATAATGAAAACCGACAGAATGGGATCGCAGGTAAGAAATTTGCATTATTTAAAGAATTAAAATCGCGAAATAACGCGATGACTGACATAATTTAGAGTCGCGTGTGCAGTCGTTTAATTCTTTGCTCTGAATTCGAAATTTTATTGATTCCAATCGTCTGGAAATATTTATAAAGTAAAGTTTTATAAAGTAATACGTGGCAGAGTGCCTAGTCGATGACGATAATAGGATGAGGAGGAGGATAGGGATGAGAATATGCTTTTTATATTTAGAAGATTTGCATTTCGAGTGACAGACTGGCACATTCGAGTTTAATTGTTCCACAATAAGCTAACAAGCATCCGTTCGCAAAGGGTTAAACGAATATCGATAGAATTTTTCAACATTTCGTTAAGATTTTTAACAATAATGCCCCTTGTGCCTCGAGAAATTACGACGAGAGACGATGGACAGGCTTCGAGCACTCTAAAGCCTCCAAAACTCCCATGAAAATGATCCCTTTAAAATCACTATTTTTCCTCTATCTCCTCCTCCTTTGAAAAAATCGATCGTTCACCTTGAAATCGTCTCTCCGTCTGTTCTCAGGGGCTCAAGAACGCGAACGCTATGAATCAACGAGGTCCTCGAGTTCTCGGTGAAATGGGACCTGATAACTTCCGGCCCAATAGTCGCATTGTTTCCGAACTTCGTAGACAGTTCCCAAATTTCATAAACCATCTATCAAAGGATCATTCTAAAATCCCAACCTCGTCTTACGCACGACGACAGTATTCGAATGTCGCTTTTCTATACGATGAAAAGTTTCCAATAAATAGAAACATGGAACAAGAGTCACATTTTGTCAGACCAGTTTCCTGTATCGTTACCTCCAGCAAAGAGAGAACAGTTTCAACAGCGAAGAACAGTTTTATCACCGAGAATGTCGATAAAAGATGTTCTTCAAAGAAGAGAAAAAGCGAAATTGGTGAAAAGATGAATAAAATGACAGCTAAACACGTTGAGAAGGGGATTATAGCAAATGTCGATCATCATCGACTCTTGACAGCATCAAAGATCGATAACAAGAGGATTCGAGCAAAGAAAACCGAGTTAAAAATAAAGAATACGTATTCCAGTGGTACGAAGTCAAAAAATTGGACCATTCCAGCTATTCTCTCCGACAAGAAACCGAAAATGTTGTACGGGTTGGTTCAACAGAGAAGAAGATCCCTGTCATGGTTCTTCTACAAGTTTTTCGATGTGAAACCCGAAGACACCGCTAACGATGTTCAGAATATCAAATCTGGAAGCAGCAAGATCAATAAAATCAACTGTATTCAGGATCAGAATTATTCTAAACAACTTCATCAAATAGAGAAGCTGAACGCTTCTACCTCTATCAGTGATTTCACTCCGCATACACTGAAAACAAGTTCCAATTCTCTGAGCATCAATGATAGCATCAATGATTCCATATCTCAAGGATCAAACCTCGAAGTCATGGAAGACATAAGTGCGTCTAGTATCGAGGATTCGATGGAAGAGTCGGAAATAAATAGCGAGTCGAATGATCAACCACAGCCAATGAAAGTATCCTCCAGGATCGCAGAGTTCCTGGAGAACTTAAGGACCAACAGACGTAAAGCAGGATCCTCTTCGAGTCTGACATCCTACAACCTCGATTCTTTATTCGCAGTAGAGGAAGCTCCTGCTTTTTCGATCCTTTTCTCTTCCAAGGATTCCAAGGACTCCGGCTCCTGGCTGAAGAACAAAATTCGCAAATGCTGCGAGAAAAAACAACCTCAAGATGATATCTGCAAAAAGAGTAGTTCTCGTAAAAGTAGCAAGGTGACGTGTAAACGAAGCGATCAGGATCGAGGTTCGAAGAAGTGTGGTTCAGGAGATGCTGCATCTTGTAAGACCCAGAAGAGAACTTCGTGTACGAAACAGGATAAGGATTCTTCTAAGAAACAGGATAAAGATTTTTGCAAGAAGCACAGGCAACAGGACAAGTGTGGAAAATCGTCCAAACGGGAAGAGGGAGGGGATCCATGCAAGAAACTGTGGAGAGAGGATCTTTATGGAAAAAATTGCAAGGAGGAGCGTTCCAGCAAGTCTAAGAAGGATGACAAGGATCCATGCAAGAAACTGTGGAGAGAGGATCTTTATGGAAAAAACTGCAAGGAGGGCAGCGAGGGGGGAGACCCTTGCAGCAAGTTTAAGAAGGATGACACTAAGGATTCGCCGTGTAAGAAGACAAAGAAGGCTGCAGAAAGGAAAGAAAGCAGTTCCAGCGAGGTTACTAAAAAGAAGGAAGTCGATGCTGGACCGAAGAAGGCGATGATGAAGAAAGGGACGAAGAAGCAGGCTGAAAGTGAAAAGTGTCCTCCAGTTTTTCGAGCACCTGGCTGCTTAATGAGTGGTGGAAAATCGGATGAAAATCGAAAGTTTTCTACTGTTGCTTCAATTTAAATTTCAAATGACACCTCGAAAGATCGAGGGTTGCGGGTGAAGTACCTTTGTCCCCGAATTGTTTCATGAATGAAACTTATGGGGATAATTAGATTCCACCGTTTTCCCGTAACTTTTGTGTCCACTCGTTTGAATTGATAAAATGGAGTGGGAAATTTTGTGTAGTGCGAGTGAAACCTGTTGCGTTAATAAATGTGTTTCACCGGAGCAATGAAAAATCATTGAAGCAAATGAAAATGGTAGGAACAAGTAAAAAATTGTACCTATTTATAAAATTGAAATTTTTGTAACGTCTTGTTCAATTGAAATAATATTATTTAAAATAAAGTACAATCCTGTTCCTCCAAACGAAATGACGTTTTTATAGTAGGTCAATTATTTTTTAACACCTTAAGGAGCTTACAATGGGTGGTCAAATTATTAGAGCCATGATATAAAAAATGAGGTATTCATCAATAATTCTCCACTATTAATATACAAACAAGTCTTTCGATGCATTTTAAGCAATTTATTTTGATTGCTTTATTCTTAGCCCATACTTTTATCAAACGTTCAATCAATTGACATTTATTACTAATAATAAATATTTCCACAAATTTTTCAACTGTGTATCATAATTTTGCAAGTATCAATACATCATAAAAAATTAATAAAAACTCCGTTTAACTCGGTTTTCATTTAAGAATCAATGATATTTATGTAAAATTATTAATTTATGCGAGTGGCTCTAATAATTTGATCAGCTACTGTAAATAATAAGCGAACGTATTTTTTGCGTCTTAATATCCTCTTTCAAACATAAAAAGAAAAAGAAAAGCAATGCGAGTCTGTTGGTTTCAATTGCAGCTGCAGCCAACACCGGGGTCCCTGAACAGGCACCAACATCAGAATGATAAGGTTTTCGAAGTAAGTTGCACAAATTATTTTCCATTCAGATAACTCGGCTGCCAAATGAAGGCATATTATCGAATCGTTCGCGAAATACTCGATGACGATGATCGAGCATCACGCGAGACCGAGACTCGTCCACGAGTCTTAAAAACAATTAATCACGAGACTCGTCGCTATGGCTCCACCTCCCTTCTGCCTCTTCCTCATCTCAAAATAAAAAAAAATTAAAAAAAAAGAAATGATAACCGTGACGATACGAGCCGAACGTTAAGCAAAAAAATAAACAACAAACCGTTCTAATAAAAAAAAAAAAAAAAAAAAAATAGCACACACACATACACGTATAGAAAAACGATCGAAAATATCGGATCATCCTCTCTCCCCGCAGAGGACGAACACTGGTCCGCTCGAAATGAAGGTAGCTAAGAAGCAAAGGAACAGGGGCCCTTTGTCGATGACCTCGAGCTCCGAAGGATCCATGATCCCGTCGACGATCGATCAAACGACCGATTGGATGTCAAGGTTCGTCGCGAGGAACGGCGGTATCCTCGCGACCAACGGCGACAGAACGCGAAACGACGATTATTTCCCTCAAGGCGACGAGTTCGAAGAAGACTTCGGCGGAGATAATAACCAATTTACGGATATGCCCGGCGGAAGACCGTACCATGAAGAGGATTTGGAGTAAAGCGTCGAACAGTTAACGCGACACGTTTCGTCTAAAGTCTTAAGGATTATTCGTAACCTCTGAACTCGTTTAAAATCGTCCCCCCCCCCCCCAAAGATACATCAGCCACGCCGATATTCCATTTAAAACACATCCACGAAAGAAGATCGTGGACACGATTTCGTCGCGGGTTTCGTCTTGCAAGGTGTTGAAGAGGACCGTTAGATTGTCCAATAAGTTGGTGATCATTTTCTTTTCTTTTCTTTTCTTTTCTTGGCTCGCATTCAGGAAACGACAAAAGGCACGAACTTATTGGACAGCCTAATACCTTTCTTGCCTCATTTTCTCGAGCGTGGTCGAAATACGTCGGTGTAGGAGGGAGGTGGGCTAGGAGGACAAAGGCGAGAAAGAGCACGATATAAAGCATCGTCGTCTGATGTATATCCAGGGTGTGAGACAGAGGGAGCTACGTTTGGGCGAACCAGACTGCGGCGAGGATCCGCCGAATTGGCCGGACAAGAGTCCTTGTCATCCGCCAAAGGGTCCCTGTACGCCCATGGGGCCACCGGGTTATCCCCCGAAACCGAAGCCGGAAAAGAAGCCGTTCTGCGTAAAGTGTCCGCCCAAGAAACCGTGCAAGACGAGAAAATGTTGTTAAGCGTTGTCGTCCGGTCGAGAGACAGAGGGTACGTGGAGATAGCGGCGTACCAGACTAGAAAGATTAAAACATCGATCAAACGTCTCTATTGTCTTCGTCGTAGGGCAAACACGAAGACAGAACGGAATCTTTGGGAAACCTTCGGAGATTTTCGAAGGCGACGCTTAGGAACTGCCTTCGAGCAAAGAGCCAATACTGTTTGGGATCATCTTTTGGAAATTATTCAGGAAACACTTGGAATTGGGCGTGTTCGTCGATATTACATAACCCAGGACTCGTCTCTGCTAGAAACTTCGGCACCAGGTCTAATGTGGTCTGGTTATCGAACGAACTGACCAACTACATAAAGCAAGAACAAACGAGGTTTCTTCAAACGACCTCCAATCTGATGGGGAAAGGTAAGAAGAAGCCACCCTCGACGCGTCCGCCAAAGTCGCCAGGTTCGAGTAATCAAAGGAGAGGACCATGCAGACAGCCCAGCGAACGTCAGAAGCCCTGCCCTCCAATGGAAAAGTGTATCCCACCGGCACCACCTTGCTGTCGTCGACGACCAGTGAACCCCAAGTGTCCCGACCGTCCTCGACCACCTTGTCCACCACCGTGTCCCACTCCGTGTCCCAAACCACCGGAGAAGCCTCCACCACCAAAAATATGCTACCGAAAGTGTCCTCCGCCACCGAAGCTGCCGAGACTTCCAAGACCTCCAAAGATTCCAGCCCCACCGCCACCTCCACCGCCGCCGAAGATACCTAAACCACCCAGGTGCCCTCCACCCTGTCCACCGCCTCCTGCACCGCCCCTTCCCAAGTGTCCGAGAGCTCCAAAGTGTCCCGAGTGTCCACCGCAAAAGGAATGTCCACCACCACCGCCTTGCGAACCCTGTCCTTGCCCGTTACCATGTCCGCCACCCTGTTGCCCACCACCGCCACCTTGTCCACCTTGCCCCCCGCCGATCCCCTGTCCCAAACCTCTACCTTGCCCACCTCCGCCTGCACCAAGAGCCTGCCCACCATGTCCACCTTGTGCGGAATGTCCCGAGCCTCCACCCTGTCCGCCGCCACCCCCCTGCTGCCCTTGTCCCTGTCCTAAACCACCTCCTCCGTGTCCTTGCCCTAAACCCTGTCCACCTTGCAAGAAAGCAGCAAAGCCGACTAAATGCCCAGACGATGTTCCATCCTGTCCGAAGTGTCCCAAAAGGAACCCAAAGAAAAGAAAGATGTCTACGTATCAGGTGATCTCTAGATTTCTTCCTCTAAGAAATCAGTATAGAAAGCTGCACGTATCTACGATGCTGTTGAAGAAATCGGACAAGTCCAGTTGCGAGAACGTGGGAGATATATGCCAGGGTGATAAGTCAAACACCTGCGCGAAATCCTGCAGGAGGGATGACTGTGGCAAGAAGAGGCAAAAGTGCAGCGATCAATCGAAGAAAATGCAGAAAAAGAAATGGAAGAAGAAGAAGAGGAAGAAGAAGAAGAAGGAAGATTGCATACAGACGTGTATACCAATTGGAAAGTGTCAAATTCCTCAGTTCACCAAACCACCGAAGATGGAGTATGGACCGGCAAAGTGTCCCGCGCCGAAGTTTGCCTCACCGAAACCATGTCCAGAACCACCTGAGCAGGAGCCCTGCGTGGAAGTTCGAACTTTAGCGAAACCGAAGGAGATTTGCCCGCCTCTTCCTCTTCCTAAACCACCTACCGATCCTGTAGTACTTTGTCCTTGTCCACCACCCCCGAAAATGCATCCTGGTCCGTGTCCTTGTTACGATACGAAGAAAGAGAAAAAAGAACAATCGAAGCCTGTGAAACCGTGTAACGTTAGAGAAAAGTATGTCTGTCCACTGGAGGCTCACTACTGTCCCCAGGATAAGCAGGATTGCAAGAGGCAGAAACCTTGCGATTCCAAGAGATCGGAGAAGAAAAAGAAAAAGAAACCTTGAAGGTTGGTACAATTTTTAGGAATTTTAAGTTGTATTTCCATAATATGTTTTTCATGAACTCTTCAGGGCACGATAGAAGAGGAGACTTGGGTACGGAACGAAACAATCGCAGAGAGGATCTCAGTTTTCAGCGAAGTCTAATCAGATAATGATATTCGGTCTCCTGGATCCAGTGGTGGTTTAATGATTTTCGGTTGACTCGTCTACCAGCTGTTCGTTCGACGATTAAAAAATTCTATTGCTTCTTCATTTTCGAACTGATCCGAAGAGAATCTGAAGAACGAAACGCAAAAGGGTGGAGGAATCGACTGTTCGTGTGTATTCTTTGTCGCGTGTCTGACGCGTTGCTTTCGTCTTAAATTCGTCGAGTCTCATCACGTACATCCTCGAGGATCCTGAAGAAGGTGAAAAGCCGTGACAGAACGCTGCACCGTGTCGTTTTCAGAATCACGAACGAGCCTCATCGGACACGCGACACTCGATATACATTTGATTAATTTTTTTTATTTCTCTAAGAGTCCAAGTACTAAATTCGAGTAGACTTCGCGAATGGAAAACTGTCGATCCCTTTCTGCGTTTCTGCGGCATGGAAGATTAGCTCGGGAAAAACGCACCATCATCGAGGCTCAGTTTGAAAAATTCTGTTGTACAACCTTAGCGAGACGAGAAATTCCGTCGACGAAATTAAATAAATCTTTTACACATGGATCGCTTACATCTCAACGATTGTTTATTAAACGAATTACCTAAAAAGAAAAGCTAAATCGAAACGATCGCGTAAGGTCGTTCTTTTCTGGCATTCGCGCGATCCGGAAACCATCAATCCGGAAGTTGATTCGACGAATTTGCGAGCGTTCGTGCCTGAGCAATAGAGAAGTCGCGGAAGGAGAAATCGCAATCGAAAGCGCTTCGTTACAATAATATCGACATTTATATACGAGGCAGCTCCGGTCGAAGGAAACGCTACAGAGGGTTAAGGGGGTGGGAAACGGTGTAGCAGGGCGAACGGGCTCTGGGGTTCTTATCATTTTATTATTGGGGTGAGCAGAGCCCTCCGTTCCAAGAACGACGCTTTACTTTTACCTTCTATTGTCTGTCCCCTCTCATAAAGGCTTAAGGGCCGTTTCCAAACGCTCCATTCGATTATCCTCCACGGATTTCACTTTTTCCTCCATTCGCAACGCTTCGTTACTCTCCTCGCTCGTTCACGGAAACGTCTAATCGACGGATCACTCTTATTACTGTTCTTTCCTGGAATTCTCCTATTTTGAAATACCCTCTATAAAAAGAAAATATATTCAGAGTGAGCTCGATTGGACATCCGTGAATGCAGTGAGTTGTTCTCGATCACTCTTGCGACGTCCCTTGAGCAAGGGTTACTTTTGCATCGGTCTGTACCAGGGCAGATATCGCGAGTATTATCACGGACGTTCACCGCGATTGGTCGGATTCGAGGGTGTCCTCTCTTTTTCCTGCCTTTCGTTCGACCAATAAGTGACGTTTCCCATTGGAGAAAGGGTCTGAAGGATGGGTAGATAGATAGAAGGAGGGAGGAAGAGAAGAGAAGACAAGGAAGCTGAGGGTGGTGTAGAGCGTGGTCGGGAGAGGATGGTTTTGCGAGGGTGGTAGAGCTACGAGGGCAGAAAACTCGCCCCGGTGAAGAGAGTCGAACGGGTGGAACTGGCAGAGCTGCGGATGGAAACGAGCGGGATGGATAAACTTCGAAGCGACTGTCCCCGAGGCTGATGCATAATTCAGGAATCGTCACCGGCGAGGATATTGCCAATTTGGCGTCGATGAAAATACGATCGGATTTGTCGGCTACCCCAGAATGGCTCGTCCGACGTACATCCAGTGAATTTAACACCTTCGGCCAACGTGCCGCCGGCGTACCATGCGAAATTGCATCGCAGCCAATCGACGGATCGCTCTGATATCATCCTCCTTCCTTTCACCCTGTTCCACGGTCTAATGGCTTCCTGTAGGCCCGCTTATCTAACTCTTAACGCCGCGCCGTACCTTTTCCTTCAGACAAACCGAGCGTCTACAGATATTTTCAGAACATCGATCAGGGCATTAAAAGAAATTAATATTTTTAATAAGAAATTTTCCTTTATCCAATCCGGATCATCCTCTTCGTCATTCCGCGCGTTATTCTTCCTTCTTTTTTCACTGAAAGCGGCATTTCCATTTCCGAGAAACGCTTCTTTACATCCTCTGATACTGATCGATGGAAGATTATCGGTTTTTCATGCTTTCTGCGTGAAAATTTCTCGAGGGTGTGTCTCGCACGGTGCCAGAGGGGGATGGATCGTTGAACGTTCTTCGATTTTCCATGGATACAGCCATGGCTCGGTAGCCATGAAATATTTATGACGAAAGTCAGCCCGACTATAGCTGCGATCAAAAGAATACATTCCCTATCGATTCAATTTGTCAACTCCCCGTTAATTATCTTATTATACGATCCTCTTAACGCGCCGAAGCAACCCCGTCATGGATAACCCATAAATTCTTGTCCATAGAATAAGCGAATCGAAGCTTTCCAGGATTATCGAGGGAGTATAACGTTTTCATATTTGAAACAGCTACAGGAAATTATCAATGGAACGATCTGTCGGTACTGCAGAAACGAAGATCTATATCTGTTTTACCAACGGAAGCAAAAATATTCATAAATTTTCTTACTTAAAATCATTACTTTTGTACCAACGATTATAATGAGAAGACGTTAATAATTTTATATCGTGGAATTGTTGAAAAGAAAAATTTCAAAATATAGATCAGTCGGTAAAACAGAATGTACCAAAAAATCACGATAGAAGTTTTATGCAATTTATTGTATTGGAAATCGAATTGGAATCGACCGATGGTGAGTTGGAAAGGGCTGGTTGAGAAATTTATTCGTCGGACAGGGTGACTTGGCCAGCAGGCACGAGAAGGCGGGAAGAGGCTAAGATTTATGGGGCCGGATACGCGAATACGGTGGAACTTCCTTGTATCCGGTTTGGCGAAAACTTTTCTCGACGTACGCCTGCCCCGAGCTTTCCCTTTTTTCCCTCTCGACCAACGCATCTCGCCCGAAGACGCGCGTTTTTATCCACGTCGATGCCGAATTTCCATCGGAATCAGCAAAAACTCCGATAACGAGTAAACGTTATGGTCCCTGTAACTGGTAGAAAAATATATCCGCGTTTCGTAAGAACCGGGGCAAGGAATTTTTAAAAGCAATTTCAAACGTAGCTGGTCGCCCTTTTCGGGGAAATAATCAAGCACTACGGTTTTTAGTCCCAGGTGATTCGACGGGGTTCTCGAATCGTGGACATTTTTACTTCGATGCGTGCCAACGCGAGGGAATTTCAAGGCAGGGAAAAGCGACGCGATCGGGCGGGAGGTTAAATTAGATTTCGTACTTCCGGGACGCTACAAGAACCTTAAAAGAGGAGGTAAGCGCGGACAAACGAGTGCTTCGGATGGTCCTCCGTTTTTCCTTTACTCCCAATGCTCTCGTAACCATTTCATCCCGCAAAAGGGATCTTTTAAGCTGCCTTTAAATTCTTCTATGACACAAATTACGTCTTTAATCATACGATTATATGAAATAAAAAATGTTGAAATTGCGACGGTGCAGACGGGCTGGGTTTTCGAATGGTAAAAAAAAAAAAAATTGTTCAACTATACGAAAGAGAATGCTTGGTCCAGGAGAGGTAGGGAAGTAATCGTCGATGCAACGGGTGGTGGATGGCGTGTAGGAGAAGAGAGAAGGCACGGTCGTGGTTCAGGGGTTGTACCGTGGGCACGAATCCCAGCCCATGCATACCAATCGAGCGGCAACCTAACAACGGTTAACCGCAGCCAGTCGACCCGCTGCTAATCAGAAAATCACGCTACCACGGAAACAACCCCCAACGGAGGGGTTCGCAGGCGAGAGGCTGCGAGAATCGGTTCGTTCTATCATAACGCGTATCTCCACCCCCTATACGAATCTTTCGCACCACCAACGAAAGCGCAACCAATACGTCTGCGTGCGGGTAAAACCACGGAAATCAAGCGGACTCTCTTGGACGCTCGGGGGATTCGTCGAGTCCGCGGTTGACATCGCGCTAATTACGGGGTTAAATATCAAGGGGTTAACAGCGAGCCAACCGAGCCGGGCATCGATTATCGAAGTCTGATTTTCTGCTCAGCTTTGCACCGCTCGCGTAATCGTACGGACGGATAATAGCTTAAGGGTGGTTGATTGGCTCGAGGGCAAACTGTCTCCGGCAGATTACTACTTTCTCTCCGTCCTCTCGAGTCTGTGTTTCCAAACAGCCGGGCAAATAATTTTACTTTTTATCACTTTATTTGTTGAATCCGTGTCAGAATTTTCTCACGGTAAAGTGATCATTCGGAAACTTCGTTTAATTTCTACAATTACAATTTCACGATCGGTAGCATCGATAAGATGTCACTTACGACCCTCGTATTTTCGCGACACTTGCGATACAAGTGTTTCCATGGTGGCCAGTGTAGCACTCGTTTCCATTTCGCTAGCCGATCGCATTAACCTTCGATCACACGTTTGAAGTTTCTTTCCCAACTCCCTTCGACCCCATGGCTTCCCACTAGGGATACAATAACGTGTCCAGTGTTTCGGAAGTCGAGTCCTTAAAATTTTCTTCGCGAGCGCACCTTTTCTTCGAGCGGACTGCCAAGTGAACGACTGAAACGCCGATCCCACGAGCATCGAGAAATCGACACTCGCATCGGTTACGTTTCGAGGGTGCAATCCCCTTCGCTTTTTCCAGCGCAGACTTGCTTCGAGAGCCTCCTCGACGGAGTAATACGTCTATGAGTAAAATGGATTTTGAGTTGATGAAAAGACTGGACTTGAATCGAGAGAATCGAGAGATAGATTGCTCGATCAAATTTTCAATCGGTAAAACAAATCCTGACCTTTCGTGTTACAAAATTGACTCGACACAATAAAAATTCGTAGGAAAAAACGTGATGAATCGCGATCGATCATTCGTATCAGAAAACAATTAAAATTGAAAAAGGCTGGGTTGACCGATGAGAGTTACGATTACATCGAATCCTTCGTGACAAGTCGCGGCCATTTTTCAGCGGTTGACTCCGCTTTGACAGCGTGCCACTCGTCGACCCTTCCCTTGTAACGCGCGTTACAAGAGGGAGGCAGGGGTTTACGTAACGACCACCCTGTCGATACACCGTATCGAGTATAAGTGCGACGAAGAGGTCAAGCTGGGGTGCTTCTCGCAACCCCTGCGACAGAGAAAGAGAGAGTAGTTGATTCGCGATAGCTCGTATGAATACGTGGCAAGAAGGTGGAGGGGTGAGAAAGAGAGATTGGAGGGTTACAATTTCCCATGGATAATGGCACTTTGATTACCCCGTGACGCCGTGCGTCCTGTCAAGTGGCACGCCACCCATAAATGGCCAACGTGGATAAAAAAAAAAAACAGGACCGAAGACTTTGAAGAGTGTACGGGGTGCTCTTTCGAAATTGTTGCCTTATAAAAGGACAGAAAAAAAATTATCTTGGAAAGAATAAAAATGTTAACCACCGACGTATTAGCATATCGAGCCGCGTTTGCAAACATGCGATTGCCAACTTTCATTGCGTACGATTGTTTCCTTCCGTTCCACTTTATTTCCTTCCCTCATGCGATTTCGAGGAATCGCTTCCACATAATCCAGCAATGTTCCACG